AGGGATCACGTATCAATGGTCAACTGCGCTATGATCTGAGAACGATCCCGCAAAAAAGCAACGCCGACAACTTAGACGTTGCCTGCGTCTACGTTTCAAGTCACACTGACGTGGCGCAACAGTCGGGATGTGACATCGAGAGAAAACCATCGACATGTCAAACACTCGTGGCCCAGCGGTCCAGCGGTAGCGTGTTCACGGCTCAAATCCAGTGGCCGCCCCGGTTATTAATCTCGGGTGTAATCACCGTGATAATCAACCCACAGTGTGACTGTGGCCACCCGAACCAAACAATGGACCACATCATGAACAACTGCATCCTACGTCAGCTCTCCGGCGGACTGAGCAGCGTTAGTCGCGCAACTCCTGAAGCTATCGCATGGCTCACAGACTTAAACTTGGACGTGTGGTTTGCACGTACAGTACTGTGATCATGCTGCTCGCCGTCCGCTTCACTCGTGGAAGTTAAAGATCCCGTGACGTCATTCGCAAGAGAGGGCCCCCGTGTGCCATTGGCGTCAGGGTCCAGATTTGCCAAATTCGAAAATGACACCACAAATGGCTCAATTGGGAACGCAGAGTGAAGGCATTACAGCAATCGTTGCCTCCGACTGGCAGACCCACGCCCCAGGTCACCCCTGCATTTGAAACAATCCTCGTCTCTTGAGTTCACCTCACCTGGTCACAAAAACGCAACTTGAAACCTGACCTTGAGCACTCGATGTTTCGTGATGGAAACATCGATAGACAACTCAGATATTACGACACCATCGATGTCATTGTACATTTTAAAAATATATATATTTACAGGTAACAGCAATGTTCGTTTTCGAAGAGATGAATAACTAAAAATAATAAAAAGCACAAGGCAGCCGCTGTTGCACGGCCAACACAACCAACAGCAGCCACACGCGGCGCCGGCTTTTCCAGAACGTGACCTTTAACCCGACGCGCAGCAGAAACGCCTGTCAATGACGTTGGGAGAGGGCCCGGTTTTATTCCCCGTCAAAGAGCTGTCAACACCTTCCGGCGTGAACAAACCCAACATCCAAAGGGGTTCCGATGTTATCGGATGGATCAACATCGAAATCAAAACATCGATGGTTAGGAAGGACGGTACTGTATCGATTGTGTTTGCCCATCCCTAAGCTGTGGTCAGGTAAGGACACATTCTCTCCAAGGGTAACGTGACGCTCAGGTGACGTGGATCGTTGCTACTGCTGCTGCTCCGTGCCGTGCCCCTGGTCACGTACGCACTTCCCTTCTCGTCCCCGCCCTGTCCACAGCGCTGCCTCGTTTGTGCTGCCCGTGTCTGTAGACCTGCTGCCTCGTTTGTATCGTTTGTCTGGTGCATGCTGTCTCTCTCTCTGTGCTGTCTCATGTGATACACCTGCCTGGCATGGACCCTACTTCATTACAGGGGCGTGTGTGTGTCTGTGCCCTGTCCATTAGTTGTACTGCGTCGCTTGTACTGTTTTGTAAGTTGTCTCGTGTGTCCTGTCTGGTTTATACTCTCTCATTTGTGCTGTGTTTCTAGTTGGAATTGTCTGTCTCGTTTTATCTGTTCCGTTTATCCTTGCAATCTCGTTTGTACATGATCGTTTATCTTGTTTTGCTAATTTAATCTGTCTATTAATAAATCCAACTTGTAACGCAGGACCAGCGAGTCGAGGTTCTACTGAGCTCGAGTTCAAGGGCACACGGCTGTCGGAACGCGTTCCAGATAGAATCCGTGCGTGAGGCGGTTTTGTGTCTGCCTCCTTGTTTTGCTGACAGGCGACTTTCAATGACACTCGGAGCCACCACGGTCAGGTCGGGTCGCATTCCAGCCGGCGCCAGGTGAAGCAATGGGCGCGCTGTTTTAGGGGCAGTTCAGTGCCCGCAGCGACCGCTGCTCGCCGTGCCCCATTGGCCACACGCGCACATCCCACCCGCGACAACGACAGGTTTTACACGGGCCTGTGCTGACGAGACATAAAGTGTAAATGATTTGCCACGGGTTCCGGTCGTGTTCCTCAAGACGTATTACAGTATTTCTAAGTGTGTGTTTTTCCTTTGTGAACTTGTATGTTGCAAATATGACATTGGCATTGTGTCTTCCTGTGTGTCAGTCATCTAAGGGTCTCTGATAGCTCGCCAGCATTCATACGACCTCCCCTTGGGGCAGTTATTTAATCGTTTTGGTATCATCTGTTTGCTGACGATAATACGTTTATATTCACACCAAACCGGGTTTCACACCTGCCACATCTGTGTTGTCCAACTGTTTGGCCGAAGTTAAGTCTTGGATGCGGCAAGCTCTCCTGCCATGAACCAAGGGGACAAGGCCGAGGGGTCGTGCCGCTTGGCTCTCCACAGGCACGGCACGTCGCGTCGATCCGTTCCACATGCCCATGGATGGTCACACAATAAGTCCATCGGCCAGAGTAAGAAACCTCGGTGTCATGATTTACCTTGCACTGTCTTTTGAAACGCACTTGAAGTGTCACTAAGATGTCTTATTTTTATGTCAGCCACTATTATAGTAAAGTAATGTCCTCTTGGCAGGCACTATCATAGTAATGCCCTCTTATTCTTAGTTCTTTCGGTAAAGTCACGTAGAAGGGAAACAATAAAATAATAAAAATATAAAACAATAAAATTCTCACGACGTTCCGATTGCAACACAAGCAATCATCATCAGGTGTGAAAACCACAGCAATAAAATGTTCTTGCAAGGAAATTGCAATCGAAACGTCGTGAGAATTTTATTGTTTTATATTTGTATTATGTTATTGTTTCCTTTCTACGTGACTTTACCGAAAGAACCAAGAATATGAATCCCTGCAGTCACGAAAGCTTTAAATCTAAATGTAATGCCTTGTCAGGCACTATCATAGTAATGCCCACTTGTCAGACACATTTGTTGTAATTCCCACTTGTCAGGCGGAAATACCTTTAAAAAGGGTTCCCAATGGGCTGTCAGGCGTTCAGAACGCAGCTGCCCGAGTCTTGTCTATAACCGCCTCATTCCATCACATCAATCACAGCTTAGAATCGACTTTAAGATTTTGTTGCGAATCTATAAAGCACTGAAGGGCCTTGCCACCCACCACCTACCCACGGGACCTCGTTGTATTCCTACGTTCCATCTCGCACTCTGGGATCCACGGACTCCGTGCGGTCTTCTCTGCGTCCCCAGCATGAGACGTCGTCCCAGGCGTGACCGGGCCATCTGCCTTCTGCCATCTGCCGTGTGGTCGTCGTCCCCTCCGGCCGTATCCGAGACTCGTGGCTCGCATCTCGCTCATCTACAGTCCCTTGTGGAGTGCTGTCACAATGACTCAGGGCAATCTGTTTGATATCCACATTTTATTGCCTTGTTTAGCAAGTTTGATTGTATTTGATGGAATGCCGAAATGTGCACATGTTATATTTCACTGAAATGCGCGATGTAGTAAATTATTCTTTATTAAGTCACTTCGTTTGTGAAACCTTGTTGACGTTATTTGAAAACCGAAGGCGGTAATTTTAGGGGCTAACATATTACGACTGACTATAAAAAATGTTTTTTGTACCATCGACCACACGGATACGATCATTCATATCATGAGATAAAATCATACGTATCGGAATACAACCGCAAGTTTGAGAAACAATATTGACTGTTGATGAAAGCAAATGGGCTTGGCAGGGCACAGCCTACAAGGGCCGAGACTGGAGATGGAACGACAGCCAAAGGTGGGAACTCTGCCGAGGGGAAGACCCCAGCACAGAGACGGAGCCATCGGCTCGCGTGCGGGAGCGCGTTGTTAGGTCGCCACGTCGCAGGACTGTGAGGGACGTCGACGACTTTGGGGAAAGGTTCATCCAGCAGTGGACAGACTATGGGTGATTATTATAAAAAAATGTGCACATTTTGCCAACTCATGCTGCCGCAGCATTGTGAGTCACGCGCAGCGGGTCAATTCGCGTGGTGTGAATGTCGCTGTTGGTGTCGTTTTACGGGGAAGCGTTGAACCCCGGCGGCTCTCGGCCACCCACAAGTTTCACCGCAGTGGGGACGCTGCGGCAACACCGCCAACTGCACTGCCATTCACACGACAGCCATTGTCATTGCCCTGCACGTGCCACCATGTAACATTGTCTAACCCTTCACCATCATCTATCTACTGCTACCTCAAATCCTCTACCAAGCCGGAGCCATCTCTCACGATCCTGCAACACAACAGTATATCACGCTCCTAATATAACTGAATAGAAGAAGTATTAACCCTCTAGACTCCGATCGCACTGATTAAAACCGCTCATTAACACCCGTGGAAACAGAATAATGGGAAATATCGAGGACAATCAATCATATGGACAAACCAGGTTTGTAAAAGGTTTCTTGACCAGTTGACCATCCAATTGACCAATCGGATTCTGGACGCGACTAACGAATGCCAGCTACTGTACCTTTGTGCCTCGCCTGTGTCGACGATGAAAAGGCACTCGGGTGGGCAGGAATTGGTGCAGTCACCCAAGCGCTCGCAAATAACAAAAATTTGTGCTCAGAACGTGTCTTTTTTAAAGTGGAACAGCAACGCTGAGCCAAGTTAGTGCGTGGAACTTCGATTAACCAGGTGTTAAACCCTCGTTGAGGTTCATGAAACAGCACTGCCTCTTTTCCAACGGTCACCTGGACCCTTAGTTGACTGCGTACGGTGCGAAAGAAGTTCAACACACAGTACATACAACTACAAAACATCAATGTTTTTCACTCCGACGGTTGAGCGTTGTGACAACAATCGACGTTTCCACCAAACACCCCGAGTGTACCCCCCCCACCACCACACACCTGGACACACGGAGTTCGGAGCAGCCGATTGGCCGAGGCCGCTCACCCCACGGGCTCACCTGGGCCCCGCCCACCGCCCCCGCAGGTGAGGGCGGGGGGGGAGGGCGAGGGGGAGGGCGAGGGGGGGGGCTGGAGCCGACCAATGGCGCGCGCCGCTCGCGCCTATAAAGGGCGGAGCCCGGCAGCAGTGCTCACAGTCTCTGGAGCTCACACAGGACGCGGTTCTTGCTTCAACAGTGCTTGAACAGAACTCACCCCCTGTGTCTTCTCACTTAACTCTCAAACGTTACCAACTACCACAACACCAACTACAACATGACGTCCCAGATCCGTCAGAACTTCAGCCAGGAGGTGGAGGCAGCCATCAACCGCCAGGTCAACCAGGAGCTCTACGCCTCCTACGTCTACCTGTCCCTGGTGAGCTCACACCTCCGAGTCGCGCCTCGTCCCGCGCACTCCCCTCTCGCCGTGTCACCTCCTGCGCTGAGCGAGGCGACTGCTCGCGGTGTCCTCCACCCGCGGGGATGTCCACGGCTCTGTTGGGTCTCCCGCGGTGAACTCCACGGAGCCATCCGCCGCCTCCTCCTCTCCCCGCGCTCTCTCCGGGGGAGTCGCCTCTCGTCCCCTCTCCTCTGAGCGCTCCTCCTCAACCCCGAACCCTTCCCGCCTCCTCCTCCCCCACCCCTTCGCCAACCCGCATTGACCAGCGTGGTGAAGTATGGTCAAGCAAACCCCGACACTGCGTGGGGAGTGGATTGACGAAGGCCCGCGACATTTTGTTGTTGTCTCCGTGTTGTTGTTGTTGTCTCCGTGTTGTTGTGTTGTTGTCTCCGTGTTGTTGTTGTCTCCGTGTTGTTGTTGTCTCCGTGTTGTTTGTGTTGGTGTTGTCGTCTCCGTGTTGTTGTCGTCTCCGTGTTGTTGTCGTCTCCGTGTTGTTTGTGTTGGTGTTGTCGTCTCCGTGTTGTTGTCGTCTCCGTGTTGTTGTCGTCTCCGTGTTGTTGTCGTCTCCGTGTTGTTGTTGTTTGTGTTGTTGTCGTCTCCGTGTTGTTTGTGTTGTCGTCTCCGTGTTGTTTGTGTTGTTGTTGTGTCCGTGAGAACGAGTTCACTTGGCCCATTCCAGCCAGTCGAGGCCGCTGCGACCACAAATCAGTCCCTCCAGAAAAACGCGGAGTTTTTTGGTGATTGTTGCGGGCAAAAATCGTTGATTATGCGGCACGTTTTCTTAAAAAATGCGATGGAATATGCGGGATATTTATGCAATTTTATGCGATTAAATTGCGGGAACTTGCAAAAACTGCGGTTTGATGAAAAAGAGAAAAAAAAGTGATTCCCCCAACACCCTATTCACTAGGCTACTACTTTAATGTAAAGAGTCATTTCGTATTACTTCCTATGATAAGCAAGCATACTACATCACAGAAAGTGCTGGGAATATTTAAGTTCTCATCTTGTTTTATTTCAGACCTTAACAAACAGATGGCTCAAACTTACAAAACATTGAGTCGAACAAGTTCTGTAGCTTTACAAAATGAATATGCTACAACTTCTGTAAAAATGAATAAATAAAATATTAAAAAATAAAATGTGTGCTTCCTGTTTTACAGAGGTAGCTATACAAAACAGACATCTTCTGTTAAAATAAGTGTTTTCAGTGCACAGTAACGTAAGCAATACAGTAACAGTACAGTCTTACAGTAATGTAAATTTACATACTACTAACAAAAAAGTGCAATCTTACAACTGTAAAGTTGCATAAACTCCTGAATAAAACTAACTACGTAGCCTCTAACACTTCATAACGTTCCCATGGCAACAGGGGAAATGGCTGCGCTTGTGTGAAGTAAACGCAACATTTTTCAACTTTCCGCTAAGATATATGTGACTTTTTGCAACGAAAATGCGGGGATTATGAAATCATGCAAGCCCGCATATTTTGCGCGCGGAAATCTGCAATTTATGCGGCGAAAGTGCGGCGTATTTGAAAAAACGCGCCCCCCGCATAAATATGCGGACTTTGGCTGATTTTGCGTGGAATCTTGCGATCGCATAATCGCGTTTTTCTGGAGGGACTGACAAATGCTAAAAGTATCGCCGCTACGTCACACGATTGTTGCTGCTGGGTAGTGTTGTGTTCTAATTGCTTATGCCTCAAAGGTAGAGAGACTGGTTATTATTATTTCCCACAAACTTTGCTTTTGTGACCAGGACTTTATGTGAACGAAAGACACAAATGCGCACCTCGTTCTCATCGAAAATCGATAAATTTCCAAAAATCACAAAACATCGTCACGTGACGCGGGGAGCGGCCGCCGAGTTTATTATTTATTTAGTGCCTCGTGACGGGCGGGAGCGGTGGCGCAGTGGTTAGCGCGCTGCGCCGTGAACCTGGCCACGTTTGAGTCCCGGCCACGGCTGCTACCGTCGGTGGCGAGTGACGAGTTGAACGTCGCTCGCAACAAGCCGCGTGCAGCCTGGCGGACAGCCACGCGCGCACACACCTCGCACGCATCGACGCATCCGTTGCATCGCGCGCAGCCGCTGCGTGGATTGTTGCGTTGTGAGACCGCGATGGATGGTGGCGACTCTGAGTCCATCCAGCAGTGGGTAGAGCAGTGCCGCGAGTGTGATTCCGGCCTCACCGTCGCCGCTCTTTGTGCGATCCGCAGGCGAGCTACTTCGACCGCGATGACGTGGCCCTGAAGCACTTCCACAAGTTCTTCAAGGATCTGTCGCACGAGGAGCGCGAACACGCCGAGAAGCTGCTCGCCTACCAGAACAAGCGCGGCGGGCGCGCCGTGCTCCAGGACATCAAGGTACGGGGGGTGGAGATTGGGGGGGGGGGGGAACTGGGGGGGGGTGGATTAGGGGGGTGGACTGGGGATGGCGAGGTTGGAGCCTTGGAGGGGCGATCCGCGGTGTGCCAGTAGCGTCACCGTCTCTGTTCGTCTCCACCCCGGGGGCCTCTGTGTCACGTGTTGGTGGGTCGACCGGGGGCTGTGAATCCGTCTTATCTCGTTCGCTGTATTAAGTTTCCCGTGACTGTCCGTCCGTGTGGGAGCAGAAGCCGGAGCGTGACGAGTGGGGCAGTGGTCTGGAGGCCATGCAGCTCGCCCTGCAGCTGGAGAAGACCGTGAACCAGGCTCTGCTGGATCTCCACGCTCTGGCCAGCGAGAAGAAAGACCCGCAGGTTCGTACGTTCGGTGGCTCGGGTCCCAAGCACCCTGCGGTCGCTCTCAGAACCCGCGGCTCTCGCCACGAAGCTGTCTCCCCGCTCGGTCCCACGGCCACACTCCACAACCACGTTGTCCCCAAGTCCATGGCTCTCACCGCCAAGTCGCCGGTCACTTTGAGCGACCACCGCACCCCATGAAACGTCTCCCTGACCAATGAAGCCATGGCTGATGTTGCTGTTGTTGTGTCCACAGCTGTGCGACTTCCTGGAGCACGAGTTCCTGGAGGAGCAGGTGGAGTCCATCAAGCAGCTTGGGGACCACGTCACCAATCTCAAGCGCCTGGGCGTGCCACAGTCTGGCATGGGAGAGTACCTCTTCGACAAGATGACCCTGAGCAGCTAAACGGTGTCCTCCCATCGACACGAAGTCGCGCACGCCAGCTGCTCTTTATAATCCGTAGTTTCTTCCTCGCTGGTGAAGTGTGCAGGGTCCTTCTAAAGTTCGGTTCTCTCCACGGTTGATGTACTCCTTTGGTGGGGAGGGTGTAGATAACATCTTGATGCTGTCATTGTCTTTGCATGAACAAGTGGAACCTCGTAGTGAGAATAAAAATTCTGAGCATTAAAATTGTGCCGAGCGTTTTTCGTGGTCTGCAACTCGTCCCCGGTTTGCGTTGGGGCTTCACGAACACCTTGAGGTGGCTTTGACGGAGCACAAAACTAAACATTCTGCTGAAATCGTAGATGTGCATCCAGACAGCCGCTTGTCATGGACACGGGTGCTCAAGTGTCGCAAGTTGATGGTCTCAGTCTGGTCACAATCGACCGCACAGACCCGAGTCCTGAGCATTCAAAGCATCCGTTTCACTGTCAAGCTACAAACATTACTCCGTGGCAGAGTGGGTGTGAAAATGCTCTCCTTTGTGGACCAGAGGTCGCGTAAATGATTATTCTCGGCGGTAGTTCTGTGATATCCACTTTGTGGGCCATTAACGGGAGGTTGCAATCATTTGCAAGAGTTTCGACTCAACGGGATTCAATTGTGAGAAAAGATAAGCAAAATTTACATTTCGTTTGAAGTTTATTTTTTGGCATGGGCAAAACCCATTGCAATAATTGCTCGCGCTTCGATAGGGACCTGGTTACTACAGCGAAAAAACAAACAAAAAACAACTCCATGGAAAACTTGTGAACTGCTGTGCCGTGCATCAACACGGCGCAGCCAGCACATGACACGGACGTGAGGGGATTTAAGACATCAGAATGGCAATATTTGTCAAAGTGCTCCAGCTCAACCAGAGACGGCCGCTGCACTTTTTGTTCACTTCCCAGGTTGAACTCTTTCTTAGATTACCATCATCACGGCCCATGGGCAAGATAGACCGTCTGTGTCCACCGAACTTTTCGTCATTTGTTTCCACTTTCCTCCGTCCTGTGCCCGATATGCTCAAGTAGTGGCACACATTTTCATGGCACCAATCTCTGATGTCGTAGTCAAGCCCTTCTCTCCGAGGTCTTCCTCTCTTTCCGGTTCCTTCCAGTTTTCCAAACAACACTTTTAAACACGTTCCTTCGGAGTGGGCAGGTAGGAACTTGGTTGGACAGCGCATTCGTGCACGACAGACAAATAATCCCTGGTGGGCAGTGTGGAACCTGTTGTTCCTACCTGTATTAGCCTCTTGTTGTTCATCCTGCATGTGTCCAAAGTGCCCGTTTCATTCTCATCACTGCCTGCATTATCAGGTCTTCTATATATATTTATATAGCGCCTTAATCCAAGGCACTTTGTGGCAAGCAATTATACAATTGGAGGTAAGATGATCGTGATAAAGAGTGAGGTTATTAAAAGTGGTGGTGTCGTTACGGTGACAGGACAGCCGGAGTAGTTAAGGAGGGGTTGGGGTCGTGGTGGGGGTAGCGATAGAGGTGGGGGTAGCGATAGGAGTCGTGGTCGCAGTAGTGATAGGGGTGGGAGGAGCGATATGGATTGTGAGAGAGGTAGTGATATGGGTTATGGTTGGCCTGGCCGTATCTGTGGGGCTGGCAGTAGTAGGATGATGGGCTAGGGGAGAAAGGATGGGGGTTGTTTTAAGGGAGGAACGGAGACAAGTTGGTGACGATGATTGTTTCATGCGCATTGTGGTAGTTGGTTCACTGAAGAAGAGCAAGAAGGGGACAGGGACGAGAGTGAGACTGTGCGCAGGATGGTGAGCGAGGCGCAGAGAGGGAAAGTCGAGACGAGCAGCGCAGAGGGCGGGATGGGGCACAGTCGTGAGAGAAGCGAGACCATGGAGGGATGTGCATAGCCGACACGCAGATAAGTTTCGTCAGTTGCTTTTCAAATGGTGTACGAGATCACCTTGGTGCTCGCTTTGCTCCTTGGCACACACACACTGTACACGTAGGGCCGTGTTGCGGGCCATGCCAGGGAGTTATTTCACTTTATCTCACCACATTTCACCACATCTCACCACATTTCACCATATTTCACCACATTTCACCACATTTCACCACATTGGCCAGCGCGGGTTTATGAAAGCGGGCAGGAAAGGTCGATGGGTTGTAAAGTACAGGGCGGGCCAGATGTCTCGTGACCCCCATTTAATTCTCTAATCTTTTTTTAAGCAAGGTTTATTTCAAACATAACTAAATATGCAAAGGACAAACATGTTAGGGGTCAATTACGTTGGGATCCCAATTCTGGACCATCCTGTACAATGGGTGTGTAGATAATATACAGCACGGGTGGGGCTCTTGAAAAAGCTGCAAGACACGAACCACAGGAGTGAGTGGAAGTCAATGGCCAGTGGGCCACTCTGCCCATGCCCCTTAAATGAGCACGGCTGGCTACGTGCGGTGCGAAAGAAGTTCAACGTACACCTATTAAACGACCCCGGGTCCAAATGTCCAAGTTGTTCGCGGTCGTCAGAAGCTGCCGCTTCCTCGAGCCGCCACGCACCGGGCCAGGCGGCCAGCTTGCTGCTGCTCACCCTCGATTTGGTGGTGACCGTCTCATGAACGTCTCGCTCCGTTCACTGGAGTCGTTTGTTGCCTGGCCGAGATGAGCCGCGGTAACGGCCGGTCCCCAGCACGCGGCCCAGCGGCCAGGTCGCTGCCGCTGCTGTTGTTGTTGTTGCTGTTGTTGTCCCTCGGGTGCCCGGATAGGCAATGGAGGGGCCCTCTCTGTCCCCGCGTTCGCAGCAACTCCGAATCGTTGAATAATTATCAAGGGTCACCTCTTAGCGTCCTTTATTGGATGTTCATTTTAACATCTAACGTACCTAGTCTCACCGTGCTAATCCGACGTGTGGGGGAAGATATGACAAGAGTTCTCTTGCAATATAATGCAGGATCTTGAGAAATTGTAGCGGATTTGTGAGGCCTCCATCCAGCAGTGGAATGACCATGGCAATTCATGATGATGATGCATCAGCTTGTTCGGTTTAAGCACAATCGAGTCGAAGAGTCTCGATGCTCAAACGAGCAATGACCGCCGCTCATCTCTGTTGGTGGCCCCAAGCCAATTGTGGAGCTTCCACGTTCCCATGGTGGCAGCAGTTCGTGTCTCTCTGGGGCGATCGCTGTTTAATTCCCATAAAGCGGTACACATTTTATCAATCGCACAAGGATGACAGGCCGAGCCAAACACGGAATGGAATTTAAACGACCAGTTTATTGGATTTCATGAAAATCTGAACCAGACCACATTTCTCCCCACTTGTGGATTAAAGCACCGAACTCTGCACAACGACACAAACAAATGTAACAATAATATAACGCTTAACAACACAAATATAACCATAAAAATAAATATAGTAGCGCTTTTGAAATGTATGATATGCCAGATAGATGTATATGAACGTGCCTTTGTGTACAGCATGTTGGGCAAAAGTCTTTGCAAAGGGCACAAGAATCGCTTCCTCGAAGATGTCTTGGACAAGCAGTTGAGAAAGCAATGCGAAACGTCGGAACCCAAATGCATGGCAAGAAGAGGCAACCTTAGCTTATGGTGCACGGGATTCATTCTCGACGTGAGGGGGGGGGGGGGGGAGCCCAGGCGCCGGCTGTGAAGAGAGGAGAAACTGGAGCAGGGAGCCCCAGTCTGTAATGTGCGAATGTTAGCCAAGCGCTTGGTTAAAGACCAGTGTTTGTATGGTGGAAAGAAATGATTTTTTTAAATTTATAAATGTTTAAAAGAGGAGTTTGAACATTACCATATTTTCTGTGTGGCAAACCTGGAAACTATACAACCCACAATGAGATTATAAAACATGCAGTCGATTAAGTAAAAAAACAGTCTGTCTCCATGCACAAATGTGATGAGCCAATAGTGGAATTGCCATATTTCTATGACCTCCACAAGACACAAACAGCTGTTGATGGTCCACAAACAGGAGGACCCTTTAATAATCGAATCCAGAGTGACGACAGAGTTGAGTCAACTCCTGATCGACCACGATTTGAAGTCGCACTGTTTAGTGAGTAAAGCACTTTATGACATAACCACGTGCCTGGATAACCATTTAAGTAACACGGTGCTTTGAAAGTAAAATCAATATGCGGCACATTACCGCTAATTTATTTAAGGAGACAATTCCTTTGCACCCAACGTGCCCACAGCCACATTTGCCTCGTCTGTGACATCCCATCATTTAAAGTTTTATCGTTTGTTTTGGGAGCGTTAAAATACTCCTGATTTCTCTTGCATCCGGAACGGTGTGTGTCGACCAGTCTACACACGTGAAAACGAGTTTTCATGTGGAACATTATTTACTTGTGTCAGCCCAGTCACCAATGACCAGATGCAATAACCCCTTGCGGTGCAGTTGGTTTCACACTCTTGTACATCACAGGAAGGAAGCCCCAATATACGTGTATATACAGTTTGTATATAAGATCTGGACACTCCCATCAGTGAGCTCCTCCGGCAAGCAAGGCTACGTTGGCTGGGTCATGTAGCCCGCAAGACCAGCCACCGCTTGCCCCAAGCAGCTTCTGTTTAGCCGGATAGATGGGGCTAAACAGGTTCGGCACGGGCTACAGAAGAGATGTACTGATGTGGTACAAGAGAATATGGAGCTGAGTGGACTTGCCTATGACTGGTAGCAGTGGTACCAAGATCGGCCTCTGTAGAGGAGGCTCGTAAAGGATGCTACTGGACAGTTGGAATCAGTCGCCCTCCAACAACGAGCGGAGCGCCCAGCAGATAAAAATCATCTATTTGGGACAATGGGGACCACAGGTGGTGCATGTGCCAGTCATTTCAGTCAGGGAACCCATGGCACCTAAGTCTGTTATGTGACCTCCTGCTAGCAAACCTTCAACACTTACTGTGGCCTCAAGGTGCACCTAGCAAGGCAAAAGTGATGTGCCGATAACACTGCCACTGCGTGGCGCAGCCCTTCAATTGCTTACTCATGCCACTCTGCGGAAGTGGCCTCCACCAGAGATTCTAAAGAGCCCAACGAGAGGATAGAGGTCGTGATGGGGGTGGGAGCAATAAAGGTGGGTAGAATCCTCACTCTAACCCAACCGCAAGAGATCACTCGACGACGGCCACGCACCAGTTCATACTGCTGGGCGGACCGAGGCGTGGGGAAGGGGATTTAAGAAACATGCCCCATGTGTGTGATGGGCACACGGCGACCAACGGGTTGCAGGTCCAGTGCGCATCCCGCTACGCCGCGGCAGCATTCCCACGCGCGCATACACACGGGGGAGACAAACGTTCGTCCGCGTGAAACGGACGGACCACGGGAATGCGGCGTCTGCGTCGAGGGAACTCCACCTGACGACGATGTCGCGTGGCCTCGAGCTGCGGGGTCGTTCCCCCGCCGCGAAGGCACGAGGCCCTGGTCGCCTGTGGCAAAGACTTGCGGGAAGCGCTCGCCGTTCTCCGTGTGTGGACGCCAGCGGCGGAGCCAGGACGGATTTTGTGCGGCGAGCAAGGAGGGGCCGCACGGCGGGGCCGCGTCGACCGTCGTTCTCACAGTGCCGCCATCGCAGCACGCGGCTCGCAGCACTGATTATTACCGAGTCCAGGTGTTTAGTTACCTGTAGTGAACACAGCTTCTCGAGATGTAGTGAGCCGAGGATCTCGGCAAATTCACTGTAAACTCTTAAGAGGGCACGCAGAGGCGTCACCTCGTGCTGCACGGGGATGCGCGAGCCGCCCCCACTCACGCAGCCCCTCTGGGCGCCGTCTTCCGGGCTGTGCGGCGTTAGAGCTGCCACCGCGAGAGGCACGGGGTGACATTTTATTCGTTCTGAGGTGACAAACCACCACGAGGACGGAAATGTTGAAAACGATCGGGGACAAGAAGCAAATAAAATTAAGAGAGAATGAAACACAAATGTTGGGGGCATGTAACGGACCGACACGGCCAATGGAGTGTGGTCTCCACAAGTCTCATGACCAAGTGGAAGAGAAGACCTTGGAGGCGTTGGCGGGATAGCGTTAGGGCCGATCTTGTGAGGTTGCCGCGTGTTGATCGTGCAGCGGCAGCAGCAGCGACCGCAGGGTCTGGCCGAGGGAGCCGGCGGTGGCGACGATGAGGCGTGGCGGTGAGACCGTAACGACGCCCGAATCTTGAGAGGGCGGGTGGCGCCAGCGGGTGGCGGCTCTTGCACGCTCTTCGCAAACGAGCAGGAGGAAGGGGGCGGCCGCGCTAGCTCCTCGGCATTATGGGTACGGGGTAGAGCTTGGCACGGGCTTGGTAGCGCCGCTGGGCCACCTGCACCTCGTACTCGGAGCGCGCGATCAGGTCTGGCGTGATGGGCTGGCCCAGGCACACGAAGCCCAGGCACACGTGGCGCTCCAGCCCGAAACTGTAGTCGCAGCTCGTGGTGAGACCTGCCGTGGCGGCAACGGGGACATGGGGAATGGGTGGTTACTGAGTGAGTGAGTAAATGGGTTGATGGGTGGATGAGTGAGGGCGCGAACAGGTTGATGAGTGGGTCGATGAGTGTGTGAGCGAACGGGTTGCGTGCGTCAGAACCTGCAAAGTCTCCGTTGCAGATGATGGGTTCCCCGCCCCAGGGCCAGGGGTCAACCTCGGGGTCGTGGTCGTCCAGGAGAAGCATGGTGAGCCGGCGTCGCACGCCAGCCTCACGCTGTCGCAGCAGCGCCTCCTGCCCCACAAACTCCACGCCCTGCTTCGGCCGAGCACGAGACCGGCACAGGCAGCACGAGAACCACAACGGTAAGACGGGATGTTGAAAAAAATGTTATTTCAAATCTTATTAATTGTATATATATTTAACTTTAGATTTTTAAATGTATGTAATAATTTGTTGTTGTTATTGTTACAGTGACAAGTCAAGAAATATCTAAGGCTGTGTCTCTCTCACGGTTGCCCTGGGTGAAAAGTGGTATCCTTACCCAATCCTGGCCCAGCCTGGCTCACCACAAACCCAAAACACAATAAACACACACACAGCAACTGAGACCAGCTGTGAGCAGAGCAGGTGAGAGCAGGGAAGATCAGGCCAGGCTCCTAGAGACAAGAGCAGAACACCATTTACCAGGCTTGACAAGATTTCGCCCAGCCAATGCAGACTTGTCAAGTCGAGAACAGACCCAACCAGACCCAACCAGACCGAGCCTGGCCCAAACACAACCAGATGCATCTCAAATAGACCCAGCCAGATCCCGGGCGGAGTGGGGACGTGGTGGTTCATGCCCACGGTACCACCAGACAATGTACATCCTTGCGGGCCTGCGCTGTCCCGCTGTCTCGCCTTGTCAAACTTGACGCGGAACTCTCGGCCGCACTCGAGCGGGGTCGTGTGCGGGTCCAAATCCTGGCCCCAGAACGCGAAGAGCTTCTCGATGCGGAGGCTGCGCAGCGCCAGGTACCCCGCGTTGCGGATGCCGAACTTCTTTCCCACGTTCATGAGCTCGTTGTAGACGTGCAGCGCGTACTATCGTGTAGGAGGAGCGGGGAGAGAGGCGGTGGGCGGTGAACATCGGCGGCAGCGTCGTTTGCACTCAGCCCACGTGTGCCAGGGGGAAACACTCGATCCCATACAGTTGGGACACACGGAGATTAGTCCACCACGATTGATGTGGCATCTTCAGCTGGAGAGCCAGGGTATGACACTTTGACAGCGGTTAGCGTGTTGCGCTACGAACCCGGCGCATTAAGATCCCGCTCACGGCCAACATCAGTGACGAATATCCGAAACTGGTCTTGGGTCTCGCCCTAGGTCAACTTGGCCTTGTGAGCACCTGGTGCGGTTTGTAAAACATCCGTACTGGGGAGACAAAGGCGGCCGGGTGTGGTGCTGGCCACCTGTCCGCCAACAGCACTTGCCCCAACGGTCTGTTGAAGGCTATACGGGGGATCTTTGTGTGTGTTTGTGTGTTGTCGAACCTCTGTTGGGATGTAGAGCATGAAGCCTGGCTCCCCCGTGTGGGTCATGCTCATGATGCGGATCCCATTTGCGTAGCCGATGCTCATCTCCTGCAGCACAGACAAAGCCAAAGATACATACAAAGATCTCCCGTATAGCATTCACAAACTTGTTGGGGCAAGTGCTGTTAGCAAGCACCTATGTAGGCCGGCACGCCACACAAGGGGGTGGGTGGTCAGCACTATGCCCGGCCGCCTTTGTCTCCCGAGTGGCGATGTTTACACATCGCACCAGGTACTCAGTTAAGGCTCAATTAACCTAGAGGAGGCCCAGGACTGGTTCAGATAATCGTCACTGGTGTTGGCTGTGAGCGGGAATCGAACTTAGAACGCCGGCTACGAAGTTCAATGCACGCTCACTCACAAAATCACACACACTTGCACACCGATTCACTCACACACCTATACACTCAATCGCACTCTGCAGAGCAGGGGGAGAATGTACAAACTCAACAAAGGCACCCAAGTCAGGAATGGAACGTGGGTTGGTGTTGCTTCGAGGCGCGAGCGTTACCACTGCACTGCCACCGCTATCACTGCCCCCTACTGGGCAGCCGTGAGGAGCGGGAGACCAACCTTGCAGAGCATGGAGGGGAAGTGCTCAGGGGTGACGGGAGTGTACGAGAGTTCCGACAGCACGTCTTGCGCCCGGGGCCCGATGAGGTTCAACGCTGCAATGGTAACCGCCAGCCGCACACAGACACACGTGCACGCACGCACAGGCACGCACAGGCACGCAGACATGTACACATTTGAACATGCAGCACAGAGGCGGCTTCGCATTTAAACACCGTGTATTATTCACGTAACCGTACAATCAATGGGTACTCGTACATGACTGCTGCACAGGCCGTCTGTGTTGTTTGACCATACTTCACCACGCTGGTCAGTGATGATGTAGATGTGTAGAAGTAGAGGACCACAATGGTTTTGCCGTACCATCCCTCACCTGCCCAGCACGTAGCCCCGCGGCCCAGCACACCTGTTATGCATGACGGTCGGCCATCCAAGCACTATCCAGCCTCGACCGCGCTGCTTAGCTTGCGGGAGGACTAGGGGAAGTCTGGTGGATAGGTCACGGGCCATTACCGGTGCGTTACCGCCACCGCCGCCCGGGTGTGGCGGTTACCCGTGTACTTGTCGGAGACGTCCTCCAGCTGCACGGAGCCATCGGCGGGGAGGTGCTGGCTCAGCCAGCGCCAGCTGCGCACGTGCTGGTCGGTCGGAGAGATCACCAGGAAGCTGCCCGCACACAAAGACAAAGATCAGCCCGACGTTAGGGGAAAGTGCTGTTTAAGAGCACCTGTGAAGGCTGGCACGGAACACGAGTGGGTGGGTGGTCAGGACCATTCCCAGCTACCTTTGTCTCGCGTATGGCGATGAATAAACTCTGCACCAGGTACTCATTTGAGGACGAGTCCACACACACAGACGCATACAAACACGCGTTCATACGGACCCTTATGTAAATGTGTAGTGACATCAGGGATGTCACTGTATGGTGCCGGCCCGGGAGGGCTGTGGCGTACGATGTCCCTACATCGCGTACACCCCGTAGGCAGGTGTGGTACCAGCCCTAGCAGGGCTTGGTGAGCGCTGGGATAGCGCGGGCACCACGCACAGCGTGCAGTGCGGGCTCCCACCAGGGAGAGCGGGAGAGTGTCAGGGTTGCCCCGGGCCATGGCACTCTGGTTGACCCCGTAGACACGTGATCTGGAGTGTCCACAGAGAAGGCCCCAGGTGGGGGGGTGGGGGGGCTAGGGGGTGATCACATGTCCAGGGAGAGCTCTCCAGGGGGATAGAGAGGGAGCTAGAATGCTCGAGAAGGTGGCCGGGGCCGAGGAGAAGGTGGCCGAGGCCGAGGGCGGAGCGGCCCCGACCCGGGAGGATATAAGGTGGGTCCCTGAGAGGGACCGGGGTCGCTGCATCAACAAGCTGCAAGCTCCACGTCTACAAGCTGGAAGCTCCACGTCTACAAGCTGGAAGCTCCACGTCTACAAGCTGGAAGCTCCACGTCTACAAGCTGGAAACCCCACGTCTACAAGCTGGAAGCTCCACGTCTACAAGCTGCAAGCCCCACGTCTACAAGCTGGAAGCTCCACGTCTACAAGCTGGAAGCTCCACGTCTACAAGCTGGAAGCTCTACATCTACAAGCTGCAAGCCCCACGTCTACAAGCTGGAAGCTCCACGTCTACAAGCTGGAAGCTCCACGTCTACAAGCTGCAAGCCCCACGTCTACAAGCTGGAAGCTCCACGTCTACAAGCTGGAAACCCCACGTCTACAAGCTGCAAGCTGCAAGCCCCACGTCTACAAGCTGGAAGCTCCACGTCTACAAGCTGGAAGCTCCACGTCTACAAGCTGGAAGCCCCACGTCTACAAGCTGCAAGCTGCAAGCCCCACGTCTACAAGCTGGAAGCTCAACATCTACAAGCTGGAAGCTCCACGTCTACAAGCTGGAAGCTCCACGTCTACAAGCTGGAAGCTCCACGTCTACAAGCTGCAAGCCCCACATCTACAAGCTGGAAGCTCAACATCTACAAGCTGGAAGCTCCACGTCTACAAGCTGGAAGCTCCACGTCTACAAGCTGGAAGCTCCACGTCTACAAGCTGGAAGCTCCACGTCTACAAGCTGGAAGCTCCACGTCTACAAGCTCTAAGCCCCACGTCTACAAGCTGGAAGCTCCACGTCTACAAGCTGGAAGCTCAACATCTACAAGCTGGAAGCTCCACGTCTACAAGCTGGAAGCTCCACGTCTACAAGCTGGAAGCTCCACGTCTACAAGCTGGAAGCTCTACATCTACAAGCTGCAAGCTCCACGTCTACAAGCTGTAAGCCCCACGTCTACAAGCTGGAAGCTCCACATCTACAAGCTGGAAGCCCTATGTCTACAAGCTGGAAGCTCCACGTCTACAAGCTGGAAGCTCCACGTCTACAAGCTGGAAGCTCCACGTCTACAAGCTGGAAGCTCCACGTCTACAAGCTGGAAGCTCCACGTCTACAAGCTGGAAGCTCTACATCTACAAGCTGCAAGCTCCACGTCTACAAGCTGTAAGCCCCACGTCTACAAGCTGGAAGCTCCACATCTACAAGCTGGAAGCCCTATGTCTACAAGCTGCAAGCTCCATGTCCACAAGCTGGAAGCTCCACATCCACAAACTGGAAGCTCCACGTCTACAAGCTGGAAGCTCTACATCCTGCGAGGCATCAACACGTGGTCGGGGACCCGAGTGAGGGCCCGACCCTTCGTAGCTGTAACTCCTACGTGTAGTGTAGTTAGCTGGGTGGTCACCACCCTGGGCTGTATCTGGTGAAGGGGCAGCTACCCCTTCGTGTTAACGTGTTGATGTTACAATAAATGCGTGCACACAAGCCTTGGACGACAGCACACAGAGAATAGTGGGAAGCAGTTGGGATAGCACCCACGCAATGCTGGGAATCAAGGGGGCAGCTCTCAGTATGACAATACAGGAAGCAGACACATTTGGAATTCTGGGAATCACGGAAGTGACGTGCAGGGCATGATGAGCAGCAGCAGCGCCCACACGTGGAAACAAAAGTCTCTTTGTGCTGCACAGAACCCACAGTGCACGTATCTAGAGCTCCATCAACAAGTCAATTAATCGAGTAAATATTGCAATTGACAACTTTTGTCCTCTTCCAAGACGTCTGGCCAGCGTGAAAGAGTCGCCCAAAATAACCTCGAGTTAAGTTTTCTAGAGTTCCCACTCGAAGAGGCCCTTCCGCCAGCAGTGGCGACAGTGAGCCGCTGCAGGGCTGCACCTTTGCCACCGTTTACTTTTGTTGTGGTCGATCACTCGGGCACCTTTGCAAATGGCTGCCGCCCTTACTTCCTGCCTCCCAAAGGTCCCTCGCCGCTACACGTCACGCCCAGCGCACCAGCGGCCAATGACGATGGCGGCATGGGAAATCTCCGGCCCATTACCCCTTCCTGTTCAGCGGGCGGCGTTTCCCCCAAACGATTTTCCGTTTCACCCAATTCGTCGAGTTTAGCTGAAACCGACAAGCAGGGAAAGCCTTTCTCATGTGTATGGCTGATGCCGAGCAACAACTACAGTCTCAGGTGGTCAAGCCAGATAACTGCATCAGGAGCAGCGGAGTGCATCGCCGTGATGCCTCCTCCTTCTTCGTGTTTGTGGATCGGGCGTTCCGTCGCTATACGTTGTACGGTCTGTTCTAGATTACCACGGTCACACACAAGAGAGTTTTACATTTTCCATGTATGCATCAGGTATCCACATCTACTACCACGGTTTGTGCAATGGATGCGATTTAGCAAGGGGGTGGGGAGCGATCGGTAACTTCAACGATCCGATGACGTACCCGGCTCTGCGAGCACTTCCGTGGGGAGAAGCGCCGGGCGGGGGGGAACCGACACTCACTTGCCCTTGGTGACGCGCACGGCGCTGCAGTCGTTCTCGTAGCCGCCGGCCTCATTCAGCATGCCCGTGTGCGCAATGCTGCCCACGGGGACGTCCAGGTCGTTGGCGCACAGCGACTGCAGCAGCTCCAGAGATTCGTTGCCCGCCGACTGCACGCACCACCACGCACGAGAACACCTCGTGAAATTCGGAATAATAACGACGACGATATTGAGTTTTAATGCAGCGGCGTGATTCGCGCAAAATGCGTCACACGCGGTGCTGCCCAATTCGTCAGAGACGCAACTGCTGATGAGTGCTCACACATGTGGGAGGAAACCGGAGCACACGGAAAAAATAAATGCATGCGAGGGTGAAACAACTCTCGCCCATGCTGATCGAACAGATGGAGATTAGTCCACAGTTGCTATACCGCCTTCTCTGGGCGAGCGAGGGCATGGCTCTTCCTTGACGTCTGTGTGTGATCCACCAAGCCTCGCTGCTGCCTCCCCAGTCGTGCTGGATTACAGGTGGCCGCGTAAAGCAGCGTAGCCACGGCCACTTGGCCACGCCATGATCACGTGTCCCTTTTCCTCTGTCCAACTCAAAGCAAGCATCTCTCCATGCTTCTTTGCGCACTTTTTGTATTTTATTCCATTCTCTGTCAGGGTCCGTGTTTCCGATCCGTAAGTCACCGCAGATGGAACGCACCGATCGAAACCATTCTTCTCTTGGCAGATTGGGATTTTTAGATTATTTCTCTTCATCAAATGTAATTGTCCATCCTGCGAGCGAGAGAGCGAGGAGACAGCGACTGCGCAAGCAACGAAGTGAGAACGTCGCCCGTTGCGGCGCGAGGTGCGGCTTTACCGAACCAAACTCACCCGCAGCTCAAACTTGGTGAAGGAGGTCATGTCAATGACGCTGACGCCCTCCCTGCACGACGCCACCTCTGCCCGCACGATGTCGAACCAGCTCGGCTTGAAGAAGGTGCCTCTCTCGTCCACCTCGTGTGGCCAATCTGCCCGCAGCCACGCGACAATACGCTTATATATATACACACAGTATATATACATATACACACTTGTTACCAGGAAAGCCTCAAGATGTTTTTTTCAGGAGGGTCCTGCCAAGTTTCTGTCGCAGGAGGCAATGTTACTGCTGCGTGTATTCCCAAATGAGTAATTTGTGGGTATTTTTTCAACATTGGTATGTTGTGGCCAATGCCAGTTCCGTTGTGTGATTGTCTTTTAGCTACGGGAGGAAGCAGGTGAACCCGGAGGAAACCCATGCAGGCACAGCATACGAGGGGGTCGGTGACCAGCACCATTCCCGACCACCTTTGTCTCCCCTGTGGCAATGTTTACACACCGCACCAGGTGCTCATTTGAGGCTGAATCGACCTAGGGGAGGTCCAGAACCGATTCAGGTAATCATCGCTGGTGTTGGCCGTGAGCGGGAATCGAACTCGGATTTCCGGGTTCGTTGCGCAGCGTGCTAACCACTGCACCACCGCTCCCCACACGAACACACTCACTCGCACACTCTGCAGAAAAAAAGCGAGACTAGTTATAGACTTAGTTTAACACGTAGGAGGCTTTCGCGACAAATATCCATAACAGGTTTTTTTGGGTTAGATCGCATAAATATATAAATGTGTCGTTAAACCCGCCACCAGCCGACACAGGCAACTAGTAAGGGTTGTCACGTAAACAGAACGGGCCAATTCGTCACTAGTACAGCACACCGGTGTGTTGGAGAGCCAACCACAGCATTTACAATCTGAGTACGACGTTTCGCCAGTAATTACAACAAGCTTCATCAGGCGACAGCCAGATTTGTGGAGAAGTCTTACCGTTTCGATCCTTATATAGTGGCATCGATGTGGTGACCACACTTCTGCGCTCTTGCGCAAAGTGAGGGGGGGGCTTACTGAGGCAACGTACATTATGCATGTGCATCATGCGAGCCCTTTGATTTTGTCCTTCCTGTGTATTGTGTGTATTAAAATAGCTGTACCAACGGTAATCCCTATTGAAGTATGCTGCCCTTCATAGACATGCAATTAAATAATGTATTATTTGATGATTCGCTTCCACGCAGCACTAAGGCGGTAGCTATCCAAACGGTTAAAATTATTTGTATTTCTTTCAATTTCGATAGATTCTCTAATTACTGAGTCGGCGTACATTATGCATCAGAAAGTCGCATGAGTGGGAAATGGAACCCAGGCACTCATCGCTGCGGGGCACGGCTGTGTCCACACAAGAGAGGAGCACACGGGGTGGGCTCGTGTGGGCGCACCGGGCGGCACGAAGAACTTGGGCCGCTCGTAGCCGTGCTTCTCGGCCCAGCGGGCGCCCTGCGCATCCAGGCGGTCAAACAGCGGAGACATCCGCAGGCGCCGGCCTGTCTGGAACTCCACGTGCGGGAACTTGCGCTCAAACGTGAGCGCTGCAAAACAACAACAAAACAACAACCGCTACAACAACAGATAAAGAATCGTGGCAATATTAGCTGCCGTTCATAGAATGACGAACGAAAGAACCCAAGTGAACAAGTGTGCCCTTGGACAGAGATGAAATAGCATTTGTCCAAGCTCAATGGCGATTTACATATGAAGATGTTTTGAATCTATAAATGAGTGTAGCCAGAGTAAACCCACGTGTGCAAGGAGGCAACACTCTATCCCAAAGAGAAGGGGGAGATAATAAAGGTCCGCATTTTGCTGTACTGCCTTCTGGCGAGCCAGGGTATGGCTCTTGGATGCCCACAGGAAGGGAGTTGGACTACAGGCCACATGCATCGGCACCACCGCCAACTGCATCTGCTGAATGTCATTTGAATAATGCACAAAACCACATTGAAGACAACAATAATAATGTCAATTTATTTCTGGATTGGATCTAGGCCTCCCCATACTGTGTCAATCATGGAAGTTGTTTGACCATGCTTCACCATGCTGGTCATGACAATTTGGTGAAGGGTGAAGCGAGGGAGGGGGTGAACCAGGACCAGTTCAGATATCACTCATCACTGACGTTAGCCACCCTGTCCTGCCATTAAATCCCTTGCATCCATCTCAAACACTATGCTCAAAAGCTAACCACTTATTTTTTAACTGATCGGTTCGAGGAGTCCAGGTCTCTGACCCATGCGGTAAACACGGACACCCAGCGGGTTCACGGGAGACACGCGCACGGGGGCGGTGGGGGAAAGGGGGGGACTTACGCACGACCTCCATGATGCGGTGGCGCAGGAACGTGCGGCTGCTCTGGAGGCCCCCGAAGCGGCGGACGTCCAGGGGCCACACGTTCTCGGAGGGGCTCCCGGTCACCATCCACTCCGCCAGGTACCTGGCGCCGCACAACGCAGCGGTCGTTCAGCCGGGCGACGGTGGCCACGCAAACGTCACGAAGGCGTCCCCGGCGCGGAGGAGAGCCGGCGCCGAGCGCGGCGCGCGCACTCACTTGCCCAGGCCCCCGGCCAGCGTCGATCCGGCCGAGTTCATCCCGGCGAGGACAAAGTAGTTGTGGACGTTGGGCGCCTCGCCCATGATGCAGCGCAGGTCCGGCGTGAACGCCTCGGGGCAGTTCACGAGGCGCGACACGGCCGCCCCGTCCAGGCCCGGCATGCGGTGCAGCAGCGCGCCCAGCAGGGGCTCTGCGAGGGTCAAAAATACAAAGACGAAGATCCCCCGTATAGCCTTCAACACTCTGTTGGGTCAAGTGCTGTTGGCGAGCACCTATGAAGGGCGGTACGGCACACGAGGGGGTGGGTGGCCGGCATCATGCCCGGCCGCCTTTGTGTCCCTCATGGTGATGTTTATATATAGTACGAGGTACTAATTTGAGGTTGAGCCGACCTTGGAGTGAGCCAGGACTGGTTCAGATAATCGTTACCGGTGTTGGCCGTGAGCGGGAATCGAACTAAGGTTACCGGATTCGCAGCACAGTGCGCTAACGACTGCCCCACTACTCCGTGGGGGGCGCACACACACACAGGGAATAAGATCACGCCTCGCGTAGCCTCCACGACCTCTTCTCCACCGCACAGCCGTGCCGGGGCTGTGCCAAGCCAGCCCGGCGCAGCTCAGGTGCCAGGTTGTTTATCCACTGCACAAGCAGAGCTGACCTGAGTTCGATTCCTGTCCACAGATAAGATCTGTGACCGCCACCCTCGCGCCCACACTGGAGTCTCTCTTGAGAGTGCGGGAGATGCGGAGCTCGGAGCGAGTGCTGGCATGCATCCCGCTCGCGTACCGTAGTGGTCCCAGTCTTGCTCCATCGTCTGGAACTCCACCTGGTTCTTGCCCTCAGTGAAGATGGGTTTGGGGTTCTTCTCGTACCCGCCTGACAGCACGCCGCCCTGCCACTCTCGCACGTACACACGGCCATCCAGGTCCAGGATCACTACACACACACACGCACACAAAGACAAAGATCCCACTTTTAGTTTTATCAGACTGTTTGGGGGCAAGGGCTGTTAGTGAGCAGCACCTATTTAGGCCGGCACGACACACATGGGGGTAGTGTGGTCGGCACACGCCCAGTCCTTTTGTTTCCCCACTGCTGATATTTTATATACCATTCTGGGTACTGAAGTAAGATTGACTTGACCTAGGGGAGGCCCATGACAGGTTCAGGAAATCACGACTGATGTGAACTGTGACCAGGAATCGGGCTTAGGCTGCATGGCCACAGTGGCACTACCGTGGCTTGTCTTTAATTTTCAAGTTATAAAGGAGATGTCTGCATCGGCCTGGTGATGTTCTGATGCAGGTGATGGTTACACCGATGTCTCGAGGAGGAGGAGGAATGTCAAAGCCATGAGGTGTGATATTTGGGGTCTTGAATGAGATGTTTATGTTAGAACAAATACCAAATGATGATGACCATGAAACGGCGGGAGCCTCCGGTGGAAGGGTGGCTGCACGGGGGGCGTGGGTACCTGGTAGATTCTCTCCGAACGGCGGGGAGAGCGGCTGCGTGAGCAGGTAGAAGTGCTCACACGGGTGCAGCGGCACCGACACCGCCTCGTCGGAACACTGGCCCAGCTCGTACGCCCACTGCACGCACGGCCGGGGCGACACCGCAACACTCAGCGCTCAGAGGCTCACGGCCAAGCGGCCCAGCGGACGAGGCACGGCCAGGTCACGGTCGCGATATCACGCTCGCCATCGTGACGTCGCCCTCACTAGATTTCCACGTGGCCCCTCTCGGCCTCCCGGTGGGGGGGAGCTACGAGATTCCCAACGTGGCCGTCGCGTGCGCCCGGTCTAGACCCTGTGCGGTGTCGCGTCTCTCGCCTGCCCGGCGCAGTTGACGAAGAACTCGCACTCGACTTCTCCGTGGTCCGTTTCCACGGCCGTCACACGGCCTTTGTCCACCAGGATGTGGTTCACCGCCGTCCGCTCGCGAATCTGCACCCCTGGGGAGAGAATAGAGAATCAGAAATGCAGGCGCCAGGGTCCCCTTCTCAGTTCGTCGGAGTTACACGTGGCTGTGGCCGAGGACTCGAAACGACGGCGCTGCAGATCTGCTGCTCGCGGTGGTGATGTTGTGGACAAAATGAAGACGTGCGGTGAACTCGCTTCCCAGACTGAGAAGGAGTCCAGTGATGTCCAACGTGGTGCAATGTTGTTCCACTACCAATCTCTGGGTAGCACAACGACCCATCCCGATCTCATAAACATGTTTTATACATCACAAGTGTCAATCTCATGTCTGCTTCCTTACCGAGGCATTGCGAGGCATTCTGAGGCATTGTGAGTGAGCGGGTAGACGAGTGGTTGGGTGAGTGAGCGGGTAAATGGGTGAGCAGCAGGAACTGAATCAGCAATCAGCCAGACTAGTGAGCAGGCAGACGAAGGAGGGGCGAGCAAGTAATTGGGTGAGCAGAAGGTTGTGTGAACAGCTGAGAGGGCAGGTGAGTGAATGGATAGAAGGGCGAGTGGAAAAGCGAACTGGCAGGTCAAGAAAGTTGACGGATGAGAGGCTAAGAGGAAAGCCACGTGAGTGAGTGAGTAAGTGGATGATCGAGTGAATGGGCGAGTTGGCAGATATATGAGCCAGTGGGTGGGCAGGCAAGCGAATGGGCAAGATGATTGAGTTCAGGGGGGAATGGTTGGAAGAGTGAACCGGCAGGCGAGCGGGAAAGAGAGCAAGCGAACCAGTGGATGAATGACCCAACAACCGAAGAGCATCGTAAGTTGGCAGTTGAGAGGAGGACTGCCCTCACCGTGGGCAACGGCTGCATGAGCCAGGGCACGGCACACGTCGCCAGGGGAGACGGTGCCGTCGCCCGGCACGAGGAGGCCGCCCAGGATATCCCCGGTGCCGCCACCATCCCCGCCGCGAGCACGCACCCACGGGTGCATCTCCAGCACCTGCTGTGCCGTCAGCATCATGGCCTCTGTGCCCCGCGCACTACCGACCGCACCACATCACAAGCTCCATCAGCCCAGGTACCACATTAGTCAAACTTCAGCTGATACCATTATGAGTTAAATTATTGTAACACTGCCTCCAATCTTGTCAGATCTTGAAAGCAAAGCAGGTTCCGAGCCTGGTTGGTGCTTATGAATGGCTGACCACCACACATCACACAGGTGTCTGCGGGGCTATGTCGTCAGTGGAGGACATTGCAGTGAAATCTTTTAATTTAACTGTACCAGTCTACAATGTCTATGCACCCCACCATCACGAACCCACACGGATCAGTAAGGTGAAGTATGGTCAAATAACCCCAATGACCTGCATGACATGGTTTAACAAGTGGTCAACATTAGCAGTGGATTGACAATCGGACATTATTAAAGCATTTGTCTACATCACCAGCAAGTGGAAGCAGACAACTGGAACGTTTAAGATTTAAAAAAAGTTATCATTATAATTCAATGCTCATCAAATCTTACTTCAGCTGAGCTGCGATCCTTTGTAGGGAGATGATCCGGTCTTGAGTCTGTGCCAGCGATATAACTCCAGTCTTCTTAAATCCTAAGGGTTAATGTTTAGCAGTAGGGCGACAATCACGTTGGCAAAAGTTATATCATCTGCAGATCTCTTTAATCTTCTTCAAAAACTATATGAGGGTTGCACCAAAGTTCTCTTCCACGGTCAGATTAAGACAGCCACTTGGAACTACTGCAGAGTCCCAGAGTTTCGCAATTACTACTGTTACCGATGAACTATTTTGTTTGGCGGATTTGCTAAAAAAAAGGCTTGGAAAATGGATCTAAAACGGAATTTAACGCAATAATGTTGTTGTAGAGTGGTCGGAGGCTAGTGGAACCTAGTTTAACAACGGGTGGCTGATACCCAGATGCGAACCGAGGCGTTCAGTGGTGTCGGCTCAACGCTCTGACTTCTGAGCCACCCCGAGCCGAAGGCAATCAAAATGATCTGTGGATGACAAGGCAAACAACAGCCTTACTGTTGCAGACTCTCTCCGCTTGACGGGACCGCTCTGGCCACCGTGAGTGAGGTGGAACTCACGACAAATGGGAGCGCCCCGACCGCCCGCTACCTGTGCTTATTCCCGTGTCCTTCTCCAGGCTTTGGTACAGCTTGAGGGAGTAGTCGGCGGCCTCAATCTCCAGAGGCAGGTGCCGCACACTGCTGACGATCCCAGCGCACATACGAGTCGTTCCTCCTGACAGCCTGGGGGGGGGCAAGGGGCAGGAGTTGAGAGCAGATGACGATGAGCGGACGAGAAATCGAAGGCCTGATTCGGCAGCGGTACAGATTCAGGTATTGTGGCCCTGTTAGACAATCTACTGTTAAATGAGCGCCTCCCCCCACACCATGTGGGCCATGAAACTTATTTGACCATACTTCCCCATTCTGCCCAGTGCGGATTGGTGAACAAAGCGAGTATAGATGTGGGAGCAAGGTATAACGACAGAAGATTGTGCTGCTACACTTATCACTGCTGCCTGCCCAGACCCATGAATCATAAAGGGTGTGTGGTATTATGGGGCACATTCTGGGACTGTCACTGTGGTTTTCCTTCCATCGATTACGACAGTGAAAATGGGCAACTGCTGCAACATTGTATATATATACCCCGTCTCTTAATGACAATGTCCTGTTACAACCAACGCCAGTGATGCCACCAACCCTCACCCTGCTTCCATGCTCACTCTCAACGACTCATGGATTAAGCAAAGCTCAGTACACAGTACACACACACACACAGCCGCACTAGTCGGGCCCTTGCGATGTTACGTGCAGTTCAGCCCCGTGTTTGTAAATAGCCCCGTTTGCCGGAACTTGTGCCTGCAAATTTTGGGTAACCATCTGATCAATTTGGGTAGTTTCCAATAGGCCGTTCCCAAATGGCAATATAAGTTTATGCTTATTAGCGTTTGGGCGACATTGGATAATCTTTTTCAGAGTTACAGGTCCACCGCTAATCTTGACGGACAGACTCATGAACAGAATGAATGCATAAACGTTTTCAAACCGAGTTGAAAAGCCCTAAAAGGCTAAATGTACCACCACGTAACCACAATTACCCATGCGCGCATCCCACCACAGAGAATCCCAACAGTGTTCTCCTGCTGGTTAAATAAAGGGTAGAGAGAACAGGTGGCAGCTCCGGTGAGTAACGAGACACGGTGGGGTTAAGGACGAAGGCTCCGCTGTAAATATAGAAACTGGCCCCTCGAGTCGCAGTAGCAGCAACAACAACACAAACAGCAACTCGGGGGGTGTGGCCCTAATTTACGACACGTTTTAGTTTGAAACTCGTGTTACGTTTAACCAGGTTAGAGCTAAGGTCGTGTTAGTGACGAATGTGTTGCGTTTGTTGATGTTGTTGTTAACTGTGCTGGTGAACCACATGTGGCGGTCCATGCGGGTTATGGTCCGGAGAGCCGGGGAGTGGATCAGGATGTCACTCGCCACTGACGTTAGCCGTGGCCACCGTCTGAGAACTCAGGTGGCCAGGTTCACAGCACAAGTGCCACAGAACCACGTATGCATGAGGAACTTCTTTCGCACCGTACTGTCACTTCGCCCCAGGACGCCCGCTGTTAACTGCCCACACAATTAGCTGCGACCGTATCGTCCCTGGAGTGGACGACCGGCTCCATTGCAGGTGACGAGTGACATCTGAAACCAGAGCTCAGCGTGGGGGAGGAGAGAGGGCCTTCATCATCCAGCAGCGGCATTGACAAAGGGGGTCAGGGGAGGGGTCGGGGTCACCGCTGTGCCGTCGTTACCTGCCCTGCTCCAGCAGCAGCACGTCCGTCCAGCCGAGCTCGGCGAGGTGGAACGCCACCGAGGTGCCCACGATGCCTGCGCCGCACACCACGACGCGGGCTCGGGCCGGCAGCGGCTCGGCGCCCCCTCCTCCTCCTCCCGCAGCGCCCGAGGTGGCGACGCCGAGGAGGCGACGGTGGAGGAGCGACCCCGCCACGAGGCCGAGCTGCTGCTGCTGCTGCTGGGGCTGCCGGGGGGGCACGAGGGGGTCATGGTGGTCCCGCCGGGCGCTGCCCGCGTAGCCGCCGCTGCCGCCGCTGCCGCCGCCGGGCCGCGCGCGGAGCAGCCTCAGCCTGGGCAGCATCGGTCAGGGGCGCAGGGAGACGACGGGGGACGCCGACGCTGCCCATGCAAAGGGCAACGACGAGGAGGAGATGGTGACGAGGAGGAGGAGAGGAGGAAGGGAGGCGAGGCTGCTCCTCCCCGGGCGTGGTGTTTGTTGATCTTGAGCCGTCACTGCCAAACTACGGCGAGCGCGTTGCCGGGTCAAGGGTCAAACGCACTTGTTTAAAAAAATAAATTAAATCCCCGGCTGGACGCAATTGTTTTTAGACAAAACCATTACCCGAAGTGGCGAGTTTGCGTTTTTTTGCGCAAATATCAGAAGTGGCCGTTGTCAGATCCCCTGCTGAGCGGTGGCCTCCGCACGCCGCCGCGAGCCACGTTTGACCGCGTCCGCTGCTCCCAGGGGCCACCCCCGGCAGGGGCGGTGGAGGATCGATCGGTGTTGCCAACTCGGCGAGTTCGTGATCGATACGCCTCGTGTCTTTCCCTCGAAGCGACTATCGCGACAAATCGAGCGACTCCGTCACTCAGATATGGACGCGATTCCAGGTTTGTATTAAAACATTTGTACCAGTTCGTGTAATACAGCACAGTACTTAGTAGTCTCGTGAATTTAGATGGTTTATACTGGTAGGAACCTCCTGGTTACACCAGCCCACAGGGGATTGTTGTGTCCGTCCGTCCGTCGTGCATCCAAAAATGGGAGGGGTGGGGCTGGGTGGAGAGGGGAGGGGCTGGGTGGGGAGGGGCTGGGTGTGGAGGGTGGGGCTGGGTGGAGAGGGGAGGGTGGGGAGAGGCTGGGTGGGGAGGGTGGGGCTGGGTGGAGAGGGGAGGGTGGGGGGAGGGTGGGGAGGGGCTGGGTTGGGAGGGGAGGGTGGGGAGGGGCTGGGTGTGGAGGGTAGGGCTGGGTGGAGAGGGGAGGGTGGGGAGGGGTGGGAGGGGTGGGGCTGGGTGGGGAGGGGCTGGTCACCCCGTGGTGCCCTTATAAAACTCAACGTTTAACCTACTCACGCCGGCTTGTGCCCGCCCTCACAGTCGAGCATATTTGCGGAATACACCACGTTGCCCTGGCCGTTGACCCTGCAGGCCATTGACCGAGCAACCCAACAACGTCCCTACCAGCTCCCTCCGCAGCAGGAATGTGTTAGAGCGACACCTACTGACTCGTTTGAGGTCGGGTTGGCGGCTTTCCGCCTATCGGAGCTGGCAACGCTGGCCCGATCGATATCACTCGCCACTGACGTGAGCCGTGGCCGGGAATCGAACTCAGGTGGTTTGTATCTCACGGGGGGAGTCGTGAGCTCGCCCATTGAATCATTGATCCATTCTCGGAGTCGGCGTCCGTGTTTCCCATCCATGGTATAGCTGGTAATCGATGCGAATTGAAATGTCTGCTTCGGGCACAATGCGATGTTGATTTCCATTTCAAATATTCCCTCCCCCCCCCCCCCAAAAAGAAATGACTCTATCCTTTGGTAAGAATTTTTATTTCAAATTATTTGGTGACGCTTCTGCGTTGTTAGTGGGGCACAATTAGCAATTTAACGACACGTTGATCAACGATATTGTGGCCTTAAAAAGGGAAAACATAGACTAATAGGCGACGTTTTGGGCAATGCCCCTTCTTCATGGCACGATTGAGGATGAATTGTTTCGAATCTAGTTTGATTGTTGTGCTATCAAAGGCCATTGCTTTCTCTTTCAAGACAGTTATTGATGTGGTTTTATTTCACTTTGATCCTGATCCGCCTTAAATAATTGCCCGAGGTATAGTTCCCCGATTAATCAAAATCGATTGTTTAGAAACAATGCAATTCATGAATTGTTTAGAAACAATGCAATTCATGGAAATGATACGCAACTGAAAACATTGTGGCCTTGAATGTAACAAAGGGCACCGAATTGGTCCCCGCTCACGCGAGGGAAACCTCAACTCTGGAGTCGTCTCATCGACAACGTCCCAATCGATTCGTCGGCACGCGACTCCACCACGCGAAGCGGCCGTAAGAATCGATCTCGCAGCCAAAACCGCGGATCGATACAATTTCCCATCGCGTTCGTCGTTGAGGCTCTCGCAAGCGAGTGACCCGGCCTTCGACGGAATGCGAGAGTCGCTGGCAAGTTGCGATGAGCGGCGCGGACTCCTCCGCCCGACACGCGCAACCCGCGTGTCGCAGACGCTCTCCACCAGCCACGATTCGCACCACAGATTTCCCAGTCAACATCGGCGGTCGTAAAAAAGAAAACGGCTTCCGCGCATGCGATTGGTCAGTTAAAAAAGAAAACCCCCCGCTGACCAATGGGCGCGCTTACACGCTCCGTCGCGTGCCAACCTCGCGACCAATAGCCAGCGCGCACGGCTCGCGCCTCGCTTATGCGCGCTACCGGATCCAATCAGACCCCCATCACCCCCCCCCCCCACCCTCAAAGTGTGAGGGAGCGACACGACCACGTGCGCGGCAGCCATCTTGGTAAGGGGCTCCCCACGGCATCCGATTGGTCACCCGCTCGCGACGCCCCCCCTCCGCGTCGGTACCGTTCGCCGCAGGCCGCGGTTTAGCCCTGCGCAAGATGGCCGCCATAGTGGCGCGCGCGCTGAGGACGTCACGCGCAATCGGCATCCCTCCCATATCCATGCTCCCGCCATTCTCGGGGTTTCTGTTCAAAAATCCTTGCCGAGGCCCAGTGCGGACGCGCCGCGGTAAGCGAGAGGTTCCTCTCCTCAACTCGGCACTTCTGCTTGTTACAATGATATGAGCGCACGCCGCGAGCGGGTAACGTCCGCTGGGAAGAGCCCCTGTTGTTTCGGTGCGACGGTGAGTGGGCTGGGCGCCCACGCGGTTTGAATAGGCTCGGGAGCCATGTGCGTGTGTGTGTGTTAGAACGTGTGTGTGTGCATGAGTAAGGGGAAACCGGCCATGTACAAGTGATGTGTTGCGATACGTGCCAATTATATATATTTATTCTAGTAAACTTGACGCGCGACCAAAAGTTGTTGATGTACGTTGTGGGACGCGATTGGTCGGAATGTTTGGGAGAGCCGCCGCCGGCTTTCTTTCGCCCCGGGGTCCCGGGTTGAAGCTACTCTAACCCCCCCGGAAAGGCGCCCACACAGCCCCGTCTCGTCGCAGTGGCATGACGAGGGCTCGCGGCGCGAGTCCAAGCAGCGTCGCGTTTAGGAGACGGAGAAAGTTGGGCAGGAGGAGCTCTCCGGTGACGTCGCTGCGGTGTCTTCTAGGCGTGTGTGGGAGTGCCTCTAAGAAGGCCGTCGTGCTCCATCCACTTGCTGGGCGAAGGCCTCCCCAAGCCCCCCCCCCCCCCCCCGGTGTAAACGACCTCGCACCTGCTCTGCACACGAGCTCGTTTCATCGCTCCATCTCCACGCGATGGAACGCGTCTCTCGGACGCGTCCCCCATTCTTTGGCTTCCACTGCGGTCACACATAACAATCGGCAGCACAAAGACTCCAGTGCCCGATTCGCCAACACGGCATCACGGCAGCGACACACACCGCTACTCCCGGCGCAATTATCTGTCTCGACCACCTCGGTGTAACTGATAATTGTTGTTGTTGTTCTACATCAGTGAAAGACAAACAGAGGCTACCACTCCCGTCATTCATCTCGGCCATCGTCCATCAGTCCCTTGAGTTCGAATTAGGCCATTAACATGCGAATGTTCACCAACATAGGCGTTTCTATCTTGATTTCAAGCTTTCGTGACTGCATGAATCCATACTGTTTGTTTCTTTGAGTAAAGTCACGTAGGTAGAAGTAAAACAAAATAAATCACGACGTTTCGATAGCAACGCAAGTCATCGTCTTAAGGTGAAAATCGCGATATCCGCGATGTCTGCTGCCTTGTGAAGAGAAGCTGTTACCACCACCAGCTTGTGTTGCTAACGAAACGTCGTGATTTATTTTGTTTTATTTCTACCTGCGTGACTTTACCGAAAGAACCAAAGAGCATAGGCGTTTTTCTTTCATTCTCTCTGTGATTCCAATCACGCTTTAGCCCATGCTTTGTGGCCACACGTCCAAGTTGCAGTTTTCAAATGGATTATATTGTTCAACTAATTGGCTGCGTCCCACCATAATGTATGTATACCAGTTATATTTTTTGTTTGGCATTGAGTGTATATGTAAACAACAGTCCGGAGGTCCTTTAAACCATAATTAATGGAACGAACATCACATTCGTGCGAGAAAATTCAATTTGAACGCAGTTATGTAATTTATCTACGGCGATCAATCCGCATTAAACAATAACATCCGACATATTTTTTAAATCCAGTAATGATATTCTGTTTCATATTAAGTGCAAGGCATCCGAGAGGACTGGAGATGGAGTGATGAACTCCGTTCATATGCAGGTGCTGGGTGACTGTTGTGTGAACGGTGGTTGTTGTGATTCATAATTGATTTACGTGTTAGATTTACTCCTTTTAAGTATTATTTGCCCTGTCATGGAAATGTGGAATTACGATGAGCGTGGGGGGATTTTGATTAGGACTGCCATAAATATCAATAGTATATTTTTTTAAATCTGAACCCAATTCTGGGCGTGGAATATCCATCGTATGGCTCGTTTGCATCCAAGCAAAGTGTTTGGATGCACTACCAACCATGCGTAACACACGTGTTATAGCCTGCTATGGAGCTCCATTGTGGCCAGGCAGAAGGCAGTGTTGAACATTTTATAGTTAAACTGCATTTCTGTGCACCCACATCTATTCCCTGTCTTCACCAACCCACACGTACACCAGCATGGTGAAGTATGGTCAAATATTCCTCACGACCCGCACGGCATAGGGAGGCCCTCATCCAGCAGTGGGTTGACGAAAGGTGGTGGTGTGTGCATGTGCGGGCGTTAGGGGTGAGAGAGTGAACATGCTCAAATGGTTTTCGTGCAGTTGAGCAGTTGCGGCTAAATGCAGCTTTATTCTGAATCGAATATGAATGCGTCAATTTCAACTCGAAAATGGCACAGAAATAGCAAGTGATAACAATACAATTACTGCTTTGTTTTGTCATGTAAGCGCCTCGTGCAGCAGCAGCAGGCTTAATCCTGACACTGCACCACCACAGAGCGATGGCGTGAACAGCAGGGTGGGGTTGCAATAGCAGACGTAGCCACAACGTACTGACTGACTACAGTCCTGCGCGAGGGAATGCTGCACTAACACCACGTGTACACACACAGCCCACTCTTGTCCATACACCGCTGGATGAGGACATTCACATACCGTGCGGGCCATGGGTGTGTATTTTTCCACCATATTTCACCACGCTTCTCTGAGTAGGTTGGTGAAGGCGGGTAGCATAAACGTGGGGGGCATCAGAGTACAGTACAACGATGGAACTTTTTGCACTGCCCTTTGCTGGCCATCACGTAGGACCCATAGCCTTATGACAACCCGATTGTACTGTCCAGGCTCAACTTCGCTTAGCTTGAGATCTGACGGGATCGGGTGGCTTCCGAGTGATTTGGTCACGGGCATTAAGAGACGTTGATCACACCTGTGTTGTGATGTCAGCTGTACTGTGGGGTGTATGTGTACGTCAACGCTGTATGCAGGCGGTTGTGGTTTTATGGTGGGAAAACTGTGTAGAATGTGTTGCCTTGTGTGTAGTACAGTCATTTGCGAATTCTATTTCCTTAATTTAACCATGAGAGCCCATTGGCATTTGCTGATTCACATTGTAAGGGAGTCCAACCTGGTTGCCTAAACACTGGTATTACTGTATTATAAGTACCTTGGAGCATACGCAGGTTAAGGACGTCACGTAAAAGTGGGCTTTGCGCAGGACACGTTGGTGGAAGGGGGATGATGGCCGGTGGTCGAGACTAACGATGGAATGGCATCACAAGCAGGGAATGCGCTGGAGCGGTTGACCATTGCAACAATGAAACTGAAATCGGCACGTATGTAGGAAGAGCTCGATGGATTGTATTACCAAGTCCGCGAGAGATGCCAATGGCTTGAGAGGAGGCCTTCATCCAGCAGACTATGACGTATCACATTCGATCATAATTTTACGTTACTTTAAAGTTCCTCCTTGCTAGAAGGCGAATTAAACATTGTCACCTATGTGTTTCTTGAGACAATGATCGAAATTCACTTCTGTTTCAGTCGAATTTATCAACTTAGGACAAAAATCTCTGCCTCCCACAAAGTAGAACCCATTTTATGGACCCTTTAAAGATGATGGGCCGAGTCTTCCCCAGACCAGAATTTTTACTCGGCAGCCTTCCGATTGTGAGTCGGAGTATCCTGACCACAGCAATGCATGGCCGCGTGCATTCTGGACGTTCTCATTTTGCCGATGGCAATAATCGACTTGCAAGGTGGCATTTAATCTTATGTTGCTGCAGCAGCCAGTGGGCTGAAGTGTGAAATAATTTTCAATGTATAATATTGTATGTACGGCGTTTCCTGTCCTCTTCAAAGGTCGAGTTTGAGTACTTGAATAGCTGGAAGGGTCAGTGACGTGCCATTGCGGGATGACTTTGCTGTTTTGAAATTTAGAACATGTTGGCGTGCTTATGTGTAGCTTTTAATCACAGTCAAGCATTTTAAAATGAATTACGGGATTAAAACGAAGAACTTAACGTTTCAAAGGTCATAAACACAAAACCTAGGGTGGGTTTTAACGATGCTTACATTGTTGAAGATGTTAATTAAATTAAATCATGAGAATAGGTTTTATCCCTTTTTTCTGGCGACAAAACAGGTGTTAAGATATTAAAACACCAAACTGAAACCTTTTACAAGGAATCCTGTTTGCGTTTAACCACAAAACTTGTGGTCAGAATGCAAACAAAAAACGTACTCTGATAATATATGCATTGTCCTTGAAACTGATAGGCAATGCATATATTATCAGAGTACGTTTTTTGTTTCCATTCTGACCACAAGTATTGTGGTTAATGCAGACATGAATCCTTGTAAAAGGTTTCAGTTTGGTGTTTTAACATCATAACACCTGTTTTGTTGCCAAAAAAAGGGGAAAACCAATTATCATATTTTGGTACTGGCAAAGAAGGTCCCATGATGTAAATTAAAGAATGTTCCATCAACCAAAAGTCCTTATGAATTAATGTTATTGCAGCAGAATTTGAAAAACATTGTACCAGGTTAGATTCTTCAGTTTGATCGGCAGCGTGTGTGGCCTGTAGCTTTCTCAGTGCCATGGTATATGTCAGTAAAGGTGCATCCCTGCAATGGATTGTTCACAACACTGCTGGCATAAAGACCTCTACTGGAGGGGGAGCACTAGAGAGCGCCTCTAGAGGGTATGTGGCCTACTCTTCCACACGGACTCGATGTCTTGGAAGAGCTTAGAACCTACACGTGGCCTCATCACGTACGACCTGCCGTCGGCTCTCTTAGAAAGCGAAGTCTGGCGGAGGCCTTTCCGCGAGCGGTGATTTGAGCCAGAAATTGCACGGCTGCGCCTTTAGCTCTTTTTTTTACCGTAAGTTTGCCTTCGCAAACCTCGGCGTGTTGAAGAACAATCCATCAGGGCCACAGTTCACAGCTCTGCTGTGTCTCTTGACTTGACCCCTACGCCCCTCCCGGTGGCCCCTCCCCCTCGGCACGGAGCACGTGGGCGAGCTGTGGCAACTTCATGCTGCAGAACCGCAGGCGGAGTTTGACTTCTATACTTGGGGGGGGGGGGGAGTGTTCGCTTTGTCCCTCACATTCGGAATCGCGGGTGCATAAATTAATTAACTAATTAATAGTCTAAATTGTAAACAACTCAAAATAAATTAATAAAGGTGTCCAGTGACCCCCCCCCCTCCGCCCATGAGTAGAACACAGCCCCGTGTAATGCAGCCCTTAACGTTTACTAAAATGTAGACATTTGCCTTTCTTTCGTGGCCAATGGTAGAGCTTTTGAGCCGCACCTTAAACATCTCCAGGTTCATAATAAAAGTCCTGCTTTGCGTAGAGTGAACAGCGGTTGTCCTGCAGATAGACTGACTGCTGCAGTGGGAGTGAATGTGCTGTTTCCACCATTGGCCCACCTACGGAGATGAGTGCTGCCCCTAACGTTTAACGATGATTCGGAGTTTACGACTGCATAGGTTTATACGGTTGGCCTATACAGGTTGTCCCTCGTGTAGTTCGTCACCATGTCCGACATTTCACTTCACATGCTGGAAGCTTATTCAGGAACTGCAAGTTTCAGTTCTTCAGGATAACACATCAGAAATGCATCGGGGAGCTATTCGAAGCGTTTCCCTGCTCAAGCGAGCTACGGGGACCATTCCTACCCCCAATGTTGGCCCCGGGCTAGTGGGGGAAATGCTGTGTTTCCGTGGTGGGTGCCAGTGGGTCTAAGGGACAACCATTGTAGGTTTGCAAAGAAAGTTGATAACCAATGATTTAATTGGCTGCAGAAGGAATTGATAGCCTGGGTCGCTCCTTGGCTAGGATTTGGTGATCACAACGATCTGGTCGTGAGTGAAGTGCTCTAACGCAGCATCACGCAGCCAGATTCCCAGTTTAAATTTCATAGCGGGATATTCAACTATTTACTTTCTCCGGCTGTATAATTTTACATGTCTTTGCAAGTGCTGTGCTTGTTCTGCAAATCGCGGAGTAATATGTACAAAAAGCGATATTAGTAATCGTACTATAGCAGTGTTATTCTTGTCATTTTGAACTAAAAAGTCTTGACTTTCGGGACCAAAAACACTTTAATCGCCCGTTGATTCGATACATTGCATTGTTTATCGATCGCGAGATTCAATGGGAGTGAATTCGTTCATTTTGTACAACTCTTAATTACGACTCTTAATTAAATGACGATTCTTAATTATAGCCTTCCCATTCAATTTGGTTGCGAAGGAAACCCGCGTGAGTGACCTGTAACAAAAGCTTCCCTCTCTGCAATGGGGCTCCTACATGCTGCCTCACCTGTGGTGAGAGCGGTGAGCACAACCTTCACCTTTGTCTTAATTGTAAGGCTCTGTATAATGATGTTTCGCCTTTAACAGCTTCACCGTTCGTGCAAATTGCAGGAGCGGCGAAGCGTTTCCCACACAGCAGCGCAGGCTTATAGTCTATTAGTCAACATCTCCAAGCCCCCCCCCCCCTGTCTCCAGGTTTCTAAGGCAACAACACACAGAGAGATTGCATGTCCATGTCTCTTAGTGAACTCAGAGTAAGACATTTGTGTCGTCGTGTGTATTGGTGTTGATAAGGCAATGTTTTCACGTTGATTATCACTGTGTCCTGTCGCCATACCATGGCGTGCACGTTCCTTTTGGCACAATCTCGAGTGTTCCTGCACGGTATCCACACAGCAGCCTGAACACCCCCCCCCCCACACCCCTCCAGGGGGGGGCACGGGGTGAGAACCACTGCACTCGACCCTGGGACTGCAGTTCACTCGCTCGTCGTGGGTCTGAAAGCATAAGGTGCAGTGGCGTTGATGTATACAGACAGCGGCTCCTTTATTTAGCCAGTCGGCAAGCAGCACCTGTGCCGAACTTTACACGGTGGATTCACGTTGTATTGGCGGCTCGAAATAGCCTCGCCTGGTAGAGAGGGCGTGGCTAGTGGTGGAGAGGGCGTGGTTAGTAGAGAGGGCGTGGCTAGTGTGGAGAGGGCGTGGCTAGTGGTGGAGAGGGCGTGGCTAGTGGTGGAGAGGGCGTGGTTAGTGTGGAGGGCGTGGCTAGTGGTAGAGAGGGCGTGGCTGGTGTTGGAGAGGGCGTGGCTAGTGGTGGAGAGGGCGTGGCTAGTGGTGGAGAGGGCGTGGTTAGTGTGGAGGGCGTGGCTAGTGGTAGAGAGGGCGTGGCTAGTGGTGGAGAGGGCGTGGTTAGTAGAGAGGGCGTGGTTAGTGTGGAGGGCGTGGCTAGTGGTAGAGAGGGCGTGGCTAGTGGTAGAGAGGGCGTGGCTGGTGGTGGAGAGGGCGTGGCTGGTGGTGGAGAGGGCGTGGCTAGTGGTGGAGAGGGCGTGGCTAGTGGTGGAGAGGGCGTGGCTAGTGGTGGAGAGGGCGTGGCTGGTGTTGGAGAGGGCGTGGCTGGTGGTGGAGAGGACGTGGCTGGTGGTTGAGAGGGCGTGGCTGGTGGTGGAGAGGGCGTGGCTGGTGGTGGAGAGGGCGTGGCTAGTGGCGCCCCGCGGCCGCAGCATCTAGTTGAGAAAATGCGAGAGGAGGAATGCGCGATGTGGAGCGTCTCGCGTGTGTGTGAGTGAGTGTGTGTGTCTCTCTCATGTGTGTGTGTGGGGAGTGGTGTAGCGGTTAGCGCTACGCTGCGCTACGAACCCGGCGACCCGGGTTCGATTCCCGCTCACGGCCATCACCGGTGACGATTAGCTGAACCGGTCCTGGGCCTCCCCTAGGTCGACTCGGCCTCAAATGAGTACCTGGTGCAGTGTGTAAACATTGTCACTGGAGAGACAAAGGCGGCCGGGAGTGGTGCTGGCCACCCACCCTCTCGTGTACCATTCCGGCCTTCAAAAGTTCTCGCTAATAGCACTTGTCCCAACAGTCTGTTAAGGCTATACGGGGGATATTTGTCTTTGGGGTGCATGGTGTGGCCAGTAACTGTGAACCAGTGTCAGATAATTAATAAACACTGAGATGAAAAATGGTTCGGACGTTGCCACGTTCCGTTGAGCACTGAGGGAGTTAGACGGCATATCGCGTGTGGTGGGGTAAAGTGTGGGTACTGCCGCCTGTACGAAGACGTTTCGGTGAAGGCCCTTTTGCCAACAGTGGCGTGAGCGAGTATTTTCAGGGATGCACCGTGTTCATTGGCGCGCTGTTGCCGGATAGAAGTTCCGCGCGCTCTCACCACAGGGGGCACGAAGCAGAGTCACACGTCGCAATGTCGGTTTTGTCACCGTCCCTATTGTGCCAGCGGAATCGGTCGTTTTGCGTGTCGTGCCAGCCGCACGGCTCGGCTTCTGCGGCAGAAAAGCAACACGGCGGCTCCTGTACGACGAAAGGGCTGCCGGTGGCCACCTCGCTGGAAGCGTCTCGTCTTCGTGCGATGGTGACCGTGCGCGGGGTCTCTCTCCGCGTGTGTTCTTTTGCAGGGCGAGCGCCATGGCCGCCAAGCCCATCTGGGAGCAGATCGGCGCTGGCTTTGTCCAACACTACTACCAACAGTTCGACCTCAACCGCTCGCTGCTGAGTCCCCTCTACGTGAGTCGCGCCGGCGCTCTGCTCGCTGGCGTTCCCCCCCGCGCCTGCCTCGGCTAACACAGACAAACGCTGGGCGTACGCGCCTCTTGTGCGTGACTCCTGTTGTCTTAAATCGAGATGAATCAAAGCTACCTTGGCAGCAAAATCCATTGTTGTACTGTATTATGCTTCCTTGCCGCCGTGCCTTCGCCGAACCAACACCGACCGGCGTGGTGAAGTATGGTCAGTCTCCGTCCAGCAGTGGATTGACGAAGGGCTGTGCGTCTTCACGTATGAAGCGATCGCCAGCATTCGCTTGAACGGAGATCTTTTGCATTGCATGCCATTTGCTGTAATATATATCTGTTAAAACAAAATACATTTCCAGTGAATAAAGATCTCCGTAATAGGGGGCAGCACTCTCCCACTCGCTCGACATATGAGAGTCATGGCCGTCTCTTTACAGAAACCGATATTTTAATTCTCAGACCTGGAATTTAGCCAAGTGAAGGACAGAACCAAATTTAAGGTGATGGGGTTATTTTGTGCATTCATTGGTGAGACCGGTTTAATAGCAAGCGGGAGCCTGGGTTACAACCCAGGATCTCAGCAGCTCTGACCTCTGACCCACCCGACCACCTTGAAAAACAAGCAACTCTCTTAACAAGTGGACACACAGACAGGCTGGGTGTCCTGGGTTCCCCACATGCACTTGAAGCTTAATCAATTAGAAAAATAGACATTAAAAATCACAGTCCTGTGCGATGCCATAGCAAGCTTTACTGCCTTGACGTTTTATTAAAATCCATTGAGAGCGCTGTGTCACTGGAGTGCTGTATAAATGTGCTTAGCAATGATTAGAATGTCTCAATTCTTGGAAAGCATTTGAAGGATGCTGCCCTGGTATCATGGTTAACGCACTGGACTTGCAATCGAGAGTTCGCCTGTTTGATCTCCCGGCACGGCCGTTGAAACCATTGGCAAATTTATTAACTCCCTCTCCTCCGCCTTTGCTCGCCCAGCTTTATAAATGGGTCCGCTGCAGTTCGTCAATCACAGTGGCGTGAGCATGAAACTTCAGGGCTGCACCTTTACGGTTTCTCTTTTTGTAAAAACGCATCTGGCTTGTAACAGACAACCCATGACATGGCCTGCCTGTGTAAGTATCTACAAGAACCAAATTTTTTTTTCCTTTTAAGCAATCCGAGTTTTTTCTGGGTGCTCTGGGTTCCTCACACACATAAACATATTAATGAATTGGTTAAAAGAACATTTTATCTTATAATATATAAAAGACTGCAGAGCTTGGGCACATAGATGTTCGGCAATATTACAGCAATGTAGCAATGCGATGGAGGCTGCTGCCTTCAATGAATGCGAACGGCGCTTAAATGGAAATCAATCTCAAAAAGAGCAAGTGAGTTGCGTTTGTAGAGTATCACTTGAAAATGCTGCAGGCACCCTCTCCAGCTGTGGTTCCTGGCAACTGTGGTGCCCTATGATTGTGTTGGCAATGTGCGTTTCACTGGGTTTACTGTCAACATTTGAGATAAATAACTACCAAAAAAATATACGGGATTTCTCCTTGTTTTCCAGCGCCGTGTTCTAAGTGCATTTATTAATTTAAAATAAGACGCTTGCATAATTATTCTGGTCTCAAAAAACTTATTTTATAAATATATTTTTAAAACATCCATTCTAGTGATTTTTGGAGCAGTTTTTGGCATAGTTGGATGGTAATTTCTTGTTCTTCTGACCCAGTGTGAATACATTCATTGCTCTAGCATTCTAGCCATGATCATTGTTATATAATTCTAACTGATCATTGTTATAATATTCTAGCTGTGATCATTGCTATATCATTCCCGCTGTGATCATTGCTATATTATCCTAGCCGTGATCATCATTGCTATATCATCCTAGCTGTGATCATTGCTATATCATTCTAGCTGTGATCATTGCAAGAGCTGGCGCTGTCCCTTAAGTAATTGATTACCGATTTTCGGTTCCATTTCCTGACAACAAATCGGACGTAAAAATAGGTACAAAAACATCTCGCCTCTGTTCTCATGTGGGGCTGCTGGACGGGAGGTGATGGGCGGAGTCTTGGTGATGCCATTGTCGTATCTGTCGTCACACTGGGTGTGGCTTGTCGGGGGTTTCCCTCCTTCGGGAGTCCTGGATAACATTTTTTTAAAGGGGCTCAGGTAATTTACCGCTAAAAAAGTCGTTTATAATCTTCAGTTGGATAATCGACTCCATCGACTTAACCGCCCCAGCTCCAACGACGACAATGTGGGGAGGGGGGGGTCACGCCGGGTGAATGCACGGCTGTGATGCGGTTGTGTGCGGTGTCGTTTTCCCCGCTGTGTTCCCGCGTGCGTGCCCACAGATCGATGCATCCTGCTTATCCTGGGAAGGGGAACAGTTTCAGGGAAAGGCAGCCATAATGCAGAAGCTCACGGTAATCCTCCTCCTCGACCTCCCCTTTTTCTTGCTGCACTGCTCGTTGTCGTCGTCGCTGTCGTTGCTACTGTTGATTTGGGCAGCGCGGCGAACGCACCGCACTACCATTGTACAACAAACGGAGCGTAAATGTGTGTACGTTACCCGGTTCGTGTTTCGTACGTAACGTGTAGGGCCTGCCGTGGCCCATCCGGTGTTCCGTTTTTGTCTTTGGGTCAGGTGGTAGTTTTATGTAAAAATAATTTCAATTAATCCATGGACCACTGGATTGTCACGCTTACAGAGATACTCTTAATGACACTGCCATTGTATTGTGAAAATTTTGACCGATAAAGATCCTCGCCGGTAACTTCAGAATTTTCACGACTTAATTTAATGTCAACTTACGACGACATTTTGCTCAAACGAGACTTTGAGCTGTTCATGTAGCAGGCTTGGAAATCGGGAGTTTGACCACAAAAACAACGGTGAAAGATGCATTGGGAAGTAGGGTCAAATACACCCCTGCACGACCCACACGGCATGGGGAGGTCCACATCCAGCAGTGGATCGACAAAAGGTCTCCTACACGTGCTTATGCACGGGCTAACCCAAAACCTTGCCACAACGGCTGCATTCAAGGTCCTAATCGCCAGCGCCGTGCGGTTTGCAACCGACACGCCTAGTTTCACCTTTGCCCTTGCTCACGCGCGTGAATCTGTGCGTGTGTTGCGTGTGCTGCTCCTGCAGAGTCTGCGGTTCACGAAAATAGCGCACAGCATCACAGCACAAGACCACCAGCCTACACCAGACAGCTGCATTCTCAGTATGGTCGTGGGTCAGCTCAAGGTAAGCGGTGGAACGCGCACGCAGGTTTGTCACGTCTTGCTGGCTCTCTGGGCCAGCGTGTGTCTGTCGCTTTTCCACTGGGTAACCGCCTTGGTGGTAGTGGCGGTGGAACAGTTGCACGGTAGTTCGCGTGCTGCACTATGAAATTGGGGTGACCCGCATTTGTTTTCCCGTCCACGGCTAAAATCGGCGTCGAGTGATATCCGAGCAGGTGCTGGGTTCCCACCCGCTCCATCAACCCGCATTGATGACCAGCATGGTGAAGTATGGTCGAACAACCTCCACAACTGACGCAGCAGGTTGGGAGTGGAGGAGGCCTTAGTCCAGCATTGGATTGACGAAGTGTTGTAAACAAAAATTATCTTTGGAGATCTCGTGCGTACGATTGTAGAACTCGCACAGCGGAGGAAGTTGCCTCCAGCTCTGTCCTAACTGGATGAGAACGTGGCTCTCAAGAGCTACAGATGGTCCCCTTGCATCACTTGACCCTGTCTCGCGTCATGTCCACCGTGGTGAACTGCTATGATTGGTCGGCGTTCCAGCTGGAACTGTGTACGTAGAGACCTCCACTTGTGACGCCATGTAAGCAGTGGGGCAACCCCTCGAGTGGTGAAGGTTGACTTCTGTGGCAGAAACGTTGGGTAAAGCAAAACTTGGTGTGCAGCTCACCGATGGCTGGTGGGGCCTCACCGTCCACGGTAGTGCAGCGTAGCCGGCACCGTCCACGGTAGTGCCATATAAAGCCAGCACTGTCCACGGTAGTGCCATATAAAGCCAGCACTGTCCACGGTAGTGCAACGTAGCCAGCACCGTCCACGGTAGTGCAGCGTTAGCCGGCACCGTCCACGGTAGTGCAGCGTAGCCGGCACCGTCCACGGTAGTGCAGCGTAGCCGGCACCGTCCACGACGCCCGTAGTCCGGCACTGTGGAGGCAGTGAGGGAGTTGGTGGATCACCGCACAAATGTTGAGAAACTCTTTACCCGTGAGTGGTGGGCGTCGAGGAGCCATACCCTGGTTCGCAAGGAAAAGGCGGCTCACCTGTCCCTTTATGGGAAAGTGTTACCCCCTCGCATGGGTGGGTGTTCTCCGTGTGCTGCGGATTTCTCAGACATGTATAAACACTAATTGGCTGAAAACTTATACACAGAGAACCGCAGAGCCATCTACCAGACTACACAGTCCCAGCTTCAGGCCATCCACCCTACTAAGTTCACGTGCCAATATGCAGCATATAAAGGGAAGATCACTTTGTACGGTCTTAATAAAATGTGCATAGATTACCTTGGAAGGCATAGACACATTGGCATGCGTAGTGCGCTTTCACAAACCATGCGTGCAGCGTAAACGCTCACGCCGTTCGTCTGCCCATGACCGTATCATCTGGAACGTGCCCCACCTCGTCAGGTCTCGGAGGCAGAGAGCTGAGTTGAGGCTGGATAGTGCCCGGATGATGGGTGACCGTCTAGCACGCTGGGTTGTTAAAGGCTGCGGGGCTGCGGGGTGGGGTGGTGCTACGTGGGTACGTGCAGATACCACTCGCCACGGATGTTGTTCGTGGTTAGGAACACAATTCAGGTCACCGAGTCCATGGAGCAGTGCGCGCTCACAATCTCAGCGTGGTGACGTTGAAAGCCCTCTCGTGTTGGTAAATTGCGTGTGGTTACCGCTTTGAACGCCAATGCTGGTTGACTGGCGTCGCCCATCGGCACCCAGAATCCCACCACTCGCTCCGGGGCTGTCATCTGAGATGAGCTCCACCCCACGCTTTGTGGAGTAGTGGGGACAACAATATCAACGTGTGTTACTTGACCTTGGAAGACGGTCAAGAGAAGGGTCCCCTTGCAGCACCTTGGAAAATTACTTGGTGAATGAACACCGCTTAGTGTTTTTTCGCGGTTGTTCCGCGTGATGTCTGACGTTTCGCCCCACGTGATGGCAGTTACATAAGGAAATTTACTGAACTGCTCACTTCTTCCTCGATTGTGTGTTGCTGGATCTCTACGCCAGCAGCAGCCCTATGTGATTTGAGGGAGAGGATGGCTGCTCAGTTCATTTCCTGAAGAGGCTGCCAGCACACAGACTAAAACGTCGGACATTCGTGATCGAATGTTTTTTTTTGCGTGCAAAAGGACACCAGGAAACTGGAGAATGCTCACGGGTGCAGAAGATAAATGTTTAAAAAAAATCACTGAACTATACCAGCAATGTGCCCAAGTCGGAAATCAAACCCAGGCACTTTTGTTGCTACGAGGTGCAAGTGTTACCACTGCGCTGCCAGCCTGCCGCCCACGTAGAGATGTGCTCGGCCCAGCGCTGCGTGCGGGCCCAGCCTCGACGCTCGCTCGCTCCCTCCCGTACCCTGGCCGCCGGACTCAATGTGCGCACCCTCTCCCTTGGCCCTCTCTGCTCAGGCAGACGACGACCAGGTCCTAGGGTTCCACCAAACGTTCCTCTTGAAAAACGTTAACAGTGCCTGGGTGTGCACCAACGAGGTGTTCAGGCTAGCGCTGCACAACTTCGGGTAGAAGAGGTGCCGCCCTGCTGCCTTTTCCTTCCCTCCCTTCCTCCACGTAAGGACCCAGGTCTTCGCCCACTTCCTGGCTGCCAATGAATTGCCTCCGTGTGCTGTGTGCGACTAACCCCCGGTGATCCTCTCTCATGGTTGTCCGTAGCGGATGCTGCCTTGTGATGGTCTCGGTCGACTTGGCCAGTGGTGCCGTTGTTGTGCTTGAGAGGGGGCCGGCCTGTCGCTTATTTCACTTCCCCGAGGGAAGATGGTAGCCGCCCTCGTCTCTTCCACTGTAGCCAATCACGTGCTCATTCGTGGTAACGTCGCGTAACAAGTTTCAGATCTTTCGAATAACTTATTTCCCATTGTCTATTTTAGTCGTCGAGCACAGGTGACGGATACACTTTTAGATATCTTCTCGTGCGTGATTGCGTGCGTGCGGCTGACACCACTCCACTTGTGCACGCATTGTGGCGTCATTGGTAAACAAGCGCAGTCGCTCCGGAGTTTGAGCTGGAACTCCGAACTCTGATGCGGCTCTTGGCTGTCGTCTTCGTCTGCCTGCCCGACCAGTTGGTGGCGCTGTGGGTGAACGCTCGAATGGCAAAATCGGTACGGTTTGAAAATGAGTCTTGGGCACGGATCGGTTCAGTCCAACATCATCATCATCATATTCGTCCTTCAGGGTTAATAAAATAAGCAACCCTTTGTGCAAAGTCAACGGAGATCATCGCTTGGATAGACCGCCACCTGCCATGGGAATATGGAATCTCCGCCTCCGAATCGGGGTCGGCCTACAAAGATGGGCGACGTGGTCTCGTGCCCGGTTTGAGCCGATTTCAAATGTGCACGAGCCGGCTTGTCCAGTTGTTCACTTCCAATGCTCGCCCCCAACCCTTGTGTACGTCATGATACTGCTGCCTTGTAACAGAAGCCATGTACGGAGTAGAAGCTGGCTATAAGCACAGCTTGTATGAGCACCAATGGAAGCAACGCACGCTTACGTGACACTGTTGGGTCCGTGGCTGAAGGGAAACTTCTGATACAAGGACACTACTTGGATACAAGAACTCGTGGCCTTGCTCTTGAGGGGCCGTGCTCATCTCTGGCTTCTACTGAGATGTATAGGAGACTGGCGCTTTGACACGTGACCCCTCTGCTGCGCTGCATGAGGACCATTGTGTGAAACGTTAGCCTCCCATATATATTAACGACGTTGGTTGTGATCTTTTTATATATATTTGTGCTCGCACACCGCGTCCATTTGTGTTTTCCACTCCTGTAGTGCTGTGCCTTAACCTCCTCCGGGTGCCGTGTGTTTTTGTGCAGGCGGATGATGACCAGGTAATGGGATTCCACCAGGTGTTTCTCCTCAAGAACATCAACAACACCTGGGTGTGCACCAACGACGTCTTCAGGCTAGCGCTGCACAACTTTGGCACCTGAATCGGGGGCTCCCCACACCGCGCCTCCCGCCCCCACCACCCACCACCAGCGCCGCTCCCACCACCAGCGCCGCTCCACCTCCAACGCCGCTCCACCTCCGCCTGAAAACCTTTATCCTCCTCCGTCTTCCCCGCTTGTCGCCTTCTCTTCGCCTTCTCTCCGCCTTCTCTCGTGCCGGCCCCAGCATTCCCTGCCATGTGTCGGCTCCGCCTTGCTCTGCTCGCGATCCGCTCGCGATCCGCTCGCGATCCGCTAACCCCCCCCATCCCCAACCTGATATCCGGCCCAATCTTATCGCGGTGCACGCGTGTGCCCTCTTACGTGATTGCAGCTGTTGACGCTTAACGAACCTTGAAAGGAAAACTAAACGTACGAAATGAGGGTCGCACACGCGGGGCGCTTGGTACCACGCGCTCTCGTGGCAGAAGGACGACGCCTCTGCAGACTTGAGCTGCGCCGCAGTCTGACCCGACCGACTTTGGCGATAGCGACCTCGGGTGCCAATTATTACCACTGTGTGTGTTCTTTCTGACCCCCGAACTTTGCAAGGAAGACTTGTGGCTGCATGAACATGTTTTGTCAAACTGGTTTAGACGACTTATAAAGGTGATTTCCAAATGCCAATGAAGTGACGTCTGCAAGTGTAATGAGGAGAGGCTGCTTAGAAATCGTTTCCAATTGGCTTGATATGGTCAGATGAGCAGTCAAATGTTTTACCCGAATGTTTAAGATGAAGCGAAAACGAAAATGACAAAAATTTACGAATGTTGGAAGTTGTCATTTTATTTTGGCTTATTTTATTTCGTCGTTCCCTTGCCCGCCATCCTCCCCCCATTTCCCCCGTCGCATTGGCAAATGCCGGCAAAAGCACTGAATAAAGTTGACTTCACAGCTCTCTTCCTTCTGGGATGATACCCAATTATACTTGACGCTTAATCGGCCACGCTCGCTTTATTTTCAGCCCTTGCTGCCACTTGGGCCCAACGAGCAGCTCCCTCTTTGCCTCGCACGGACAGATTGACCTGCTACTACTTAGTAGGCCACGGTTTGATGATGCCCGCTCTGACTCTACACAAACGCGCAGAAGACCGCCGCCGCACACCGTTATCTCCGTGTGGCTTGTGTCTTGAATTATTGGAATGTTTGGCGGTTACCGACATTAAATCAGTTTTAGAAAAAAACAAATTGTGCCGTGAATGAGGGCTACGGTTTTCTGCCAGGAGGCGGGGGGGGGGGCCCTGTCGTTTTTAGGTTTGGCGTGTGGGCTCAGTTTGGGTGCACGCGGACGATGACGGGGAGTGCCGTTGTGCTACAGTGGGGTAAACAATTGGGGAGTTTTTGAAATGGAAAGTGGCAGAGAGGGGGTTGTGCTGTGGGATCCGTAACGCGCAGCACCGGCCAGTCGAGGCAAAGGAGAGAAATGTCTTGAGGAGAGTGCGAGAGTCACGACCCCAGAGGAGATGGAACCGTAAAATCGGCTCGTGTGTAGTTGCTGTGGATTGTGAGAGGTGGTGACGGCTTAGGGGGGGAGGCATTTATCTCGTGGTTTGATGGCTGATATTTTTACAAATAATGCCACTGGTGATGCCCTAGAATCCCACCACTCCAGGCCCCTATGATGGTAAAAGGTAACTGAATTGTAGGGGGTGTGAATTGTTACAGCCTTTAAAAACTTGGCACACAGGATTCAAAACCATGCTTACGAGACTACACGAATGCCACCCTTTCCACTGTACAACTAACAACCAATCTACACCCCACCCAATCACCACCACCACCAAGCCTCGCCGACCAACACAACCTGCCCAACCGCCCCTACACACCGACCGCCCCGACACACCGACCGCCAAAACGCCACCCAACCACTACTGATCTTCGTCAACCACGAATCCGCACCAAGGCAGCTGCAAGGCCCCGCGAGGGCCCTCTCCATACCGCGGTAGTAGAGCCTGCGGAGCCGTGGTTGAGAAGGCGACATCACACGCACACACTGCACTCCCACCACCACTTGGGCAGTTGTCATTCCCCAGTGAGGTCTCGCCACTCGCTGGGAGGGGGTGTCTTCGCATTGGGATTTCGTCCTACGAGCTCGTCCAGTGCTCTGCGCGTGTGTGGGAGGAGGAGGAGGATGGAGCAAAAAAGCCTTCCACCGGTGGCGACTCGCTGCCCCGCGGACCTCCTCCCGTGCACGGTGTCAGTGGCTACCCCTGTGATGGCTCCTCGCCAGCGAGAGGCGAGCGCGATATTTGAACTCGCAAGCCGGTAGACCGCCCCCGGTGAGTTACTGTGCTAAGGTTCTTAATGTGTTTAATAAGCGTCGCCTCGGCGTGCCTTAAGTACGCGCGGTATGAATGTGAATGTAGAACGGGCTCGGGCTGGACTCGTGTCTGGAAGGGAGCGTGGCCGCTCGTCCAGAATGGTGACGGCAGCGGCAGGCGGGGAGTGCGGCCAGAACAGTCGCCGCAAGCCGCCGCCAATGAGCCGCAAAGCGGCACCACGGGGGGCGGGGAGGGGGGGGGTGGGGGTCACGGCTGGGGGCGGGGGTCACGGCTGGGGGGGTGGGGTCACGGCTCAGGCGGGGTGGGGGTCACGGCTAGGGCGGGTGGGGGTCACGGCTGGGGGGGGGGGGTGGGGGTCACGGCTGGGGGGGGGGGTGGGGGTCACGGCTCAGGTGGGGTGGGGGTCACGGCTGGGGGTGGGTCACGGCTGGGGGCGGGGGTCACGGCTGGGGGTCACGGCTGGGGGCGGGGTGGGGGTCACGGCTGGGGGCGGGGTGCCCCTCTGCGGTAATTTCGAGGACCCAAGTAATTGACCGGACCGTGCCCGATCGGAGGTCTGAATCACGACGTCACCGTGGAGACGGAGCGATGAAGCAGCGACGCTCGCGTGTTTGAAGTCTCTTCCGGGCGAGCGGAGGACGCATCGTGGGCACGCGGCGGCGGCAGAGCCGCGCCTGGACGCGCGGCGGCGTCGCAGCGCCGCCGCGCGCGGTGCGAGCGACCCCCCCGCGTCATGGCCACGTGGAGTTGGGGGGGGCACGGAGCCAGCGTTGTGGGTCGGGGACGTGAAGGTTGCAGCGGCCGCGTGGACCGACTCGCGAAAGCAGCAGCAGCACAAAAAGATGAAGACATTTTCGCCGCACTTTGCGTTTCGATGGATGTGATTGTGTGATTTTTAAATCCTTTATATTAAGTTCACTTGCTTGCTTGCGTGCTTACGACCGTGCAAATCTTTCGGTCGTTTTTTAACCCACTTCCCGTGATCCAATCGAGCTGACATTTTGCACACAGACTCGTTGTGCGTGACAATTTATTTTCGTGAAAATTTTTTTCCATAACTTTACACTTTTTAGGAAAAAAATAATTATATTTAACTACCAATTGCTTAATGGTGGCAGGCAATCATCTGACCCATAGGTGGCAGCCATCTCAAGCCAGAGGACGAGAGGACTCTAGCCGCCACGCATATAAAGGATTTATAGTGAAAAACTTTGTTTTTACGGGTTAATTGTTTAAGAGTTGATATTCGATGGCAATCGATGCATTTTGGGTTATTTCCATCGCGCGGTGTGCGTGCACACCCCGCGTGGTGCTGGCAGTGTCCGTTCCGCGATTGATGGCCAGAAAAATGCCATTCATGAGTCAGATGCCGATGTCGCGATCTGCCAGCCACGACGAGAGGGCTTCAGGTGAGAGTTGGTGTAGTTTGGCTGTTCCTCCTCCGATGAAAAAGCGCAGACTAGAATGGTGTGTGTGTTGAGCTTCTGCGCCCTACGTATCCAGCCGTGCTAATCAGAGGTACGGGGAACTAAACAGAACTAAACACAAAAAGCAGTTCTGAAGATATTAAATTTAAATCAAGATGATAATTTAAAGTGCATAACTTCAGTGGCTTCCTCATATCGGAAGGACGAGTGTTCCAGACGACCGCAGAAGCGCATCTGACAACGCGTGATGCAGTGTCCGTCTTTGTTGAATGGCCAGCCACAAGCTGCTGCGAGGATGACCGGAGTTAGCGTGATGGTTTATGTTTTTTGACGAGATCAGCACTCTCCCTCTCCCACTCTACCACTCTATCACTCCCTTATCCACTCTACCTCTCCCACTCTATCTCTCGTTTACATACTTTTATATTTCTAGAGCAGTGTTACTGACGAACGTGTTGGGATGTTGTTCTTGTTTTTGGTCACGCCAGATAGCGGTGTGAACTGATGCTAATCTATTGTTTATTAGACGGAAGCGAGTACATACATCCATTATCAGCCGTTCACCGGATGCCCACGGAGTGTCGGTGGCTCCGCCACGGAGGGGAGCGGCCGAGCCGTTCCTCCTCCGCCAAAGCGGCTGTGGCGGAGGTCGCTGACCCCGCGGGGGCGAGGGGGGCATTCTGGGTTGGTTTTGACATTGGAGCGCGCTGACCCCGCGGGGGCGAGGGGGCCATTCTGGGGTGGTTTTGACATTGGAGCGCGCTGACCCCGCGGGGGCGAGGGGGGCATTCTGGGGTGGTTTTGACAGTGGAGCACGCTGACCCCGCGGGGGCGAGGGGGGCATTCTGGGGTGGTTTTGACAGTGGAGCACGCTGACCCCGCGGGGGCGAGGGGGGCATTCTGGGGTGGTTTTGACAGTGGAGCACGCTGACCCCGCGGGGGCGAGGGGGGCATTCTGGGGTGGTTTTAGCAGTGAAGCGCCGTGACCCCGTGGGGGGCGAGGGGGGCATTCTGGGTGCGGCGATGGTCGTAGGGGCCGGGCCCACTTTGGGTCACGCCGCGCGGGTTTGGAGCGTGGCTCGCGCTCCCCGAGCTCGCCGATGCAGAAAATGCCACAAAGTCGTTCCGCGGGGCTCCACATCGATCGATTGGCCAGCGCAGAGGGGACAACTGTCACCCCGGGCAGCCGTGGCCACTTCAGAGAATCCCATTCTGCATGATCCACTCTGCCTTATCAATTCCTGGCTGGGTTGCTAGGGAGAAACTCGCGGAAGTTCACACCACATCTATTTTTTATTTGACCTGGTAAGGCCCCAATGAGCTTCATAGCTCCTTTTCAGAAGCGACCAGGATATTCACAAATGATAGCTGAATGAAGTCACTGATCACGTGGACATGTATAGCAGCCAAATGCTGTAAACACGTGATGTCCATTCTAAATGATGCAGGAAAAAACCAGAGGACCCGGTTAAAATATATTTCCTGATAATTTATTTGTTGGTTAGAAAACAAATATAAATAATCATAAATTAATTCTCACTACAGTTATTTATCAATGGTTTACCTCAGAAATGCATGGCAATTATGTGTTTTTAAATTGATATGGTGATGGGACCCAGGAATGAGTCTCATAGCTCCCCGACTCCACGTCTCAGTCCCCAGACTTCTCTGCCACGCCACTGCATGGCAGTCAAATTCCTGCCGCCGTGTTGGGAGTTGACTTTGCAGTGGTACTTTTGATTGTTGAAGGGGGTTGTCTTACACTCGATAGCCATGATGAGGTATAACTCATTAAATTGCCTACTTAAGAACTGGTCACCATAAAACAAATATTTCCATCAGGCCCCATGGTGCTAACTTCAGCCTCCAGCCCTTATCGCCTCTCCCTGGCCTCTCTGTTGATGTGCCATGAAGAAGGGTCCACTGCCCGAAACGTCGCCGATGTGATATGTCTGTTCTTGTCAGTCCATGGTGGTGAGCTGTTGTTATGTTGAGGGGACTGTCCGCTCGCGATCATCGTCTCGCCGTGAACATTTAAATCGTGTCGTGGGGAGCGATCTTGTGGCGAACGAAGACCTCCCCCCCCCCCCGTTCACTAATTCGCACCACAGGAACGAGCTCCACGTGTCAGCAGCGCTGCACGTGGAGCGCCTCGTCTCCCCGAAGCCACCGAGTCACCGGGCTGACGCTGATTGTTACCGGCACGCTGCTGGCGCCGGAGAGTACAGCCATCAGCCCAGCCACCGTGCCCCACTGATTGCTGAGCTGGCTGAGCGCTGGCTCATCGATCGCCCGTGTCGCGATGGTTGCCCTGCCCTGCGGCCATTGTCGTCACAGCTCAGAGGTTGAGAGTTGGACTCCCGCTCGCAATGCTGCAAGAGCGACCTCCGTGTGCACGCCGCGATGCCAAAGTTAAAGACCCAGAGGCGCGATGAGCCACAGACAAGCGGGAAGGCAGCCAGGCGGTGAGACG